ATAAAGTAATCTACCCCCTCTACCTCTGAATATGTAAATGTTCATTTCTAAAGTTTTCCTGCTGGACAGAAGATGTCTCCTCCTTCACTGTAAAGTCCATTCTCAGTGGATGTGTACTGGTGGCTTCAAGTTTCTATATCACACTGTACAAGTTGCACACTGGAGCAGTCCCCCCTCTGATTTTCAATGAGCACAGAGAAACATTCCACTTTCAGCAGATGAATGTGAAAACATCCTTCTAGAGTCAAACTGCACGGACAGCATTCAAACAGCACGCTGTAGGAACAAGAGGAAACACTGATTTTTGACTGGAGGGGGGCTTTAACCTCAACCTCCAAACAGTATATCCAAATCTCTTCAAGCTTAAGTTACTGTAGAGATTGTCCAAACTATCCAAATCAATTTTGACCTCAGCACATCCTTCCAACAACTAAAGTTCAAGCAATTTTGTTGACAACAGTTCCTGCATGAAGCTTCCCTAATGGTAAATGGACTGCATTTATATGCAGCTTTGTAGTCTACCACTCAAAGTGCTTTACATGCTTACATTCACTAGTTCACAAACACATTCATACACTGATGGCAGGCTGCCACAAAGTGCCTCTAATGAAGAGCAATTCAGAGTTCAGTGTCTTGCTCCAGGAAACTCTTTCTGGATCAAACCAGGAATCTTATGCTTACCCAACAATCACTCTACCTCCTGAGATAATGCTTTAGCATCTCTGATGAAGGTGAGATAGCTAAAAATGTTTGGGGAACAAAGCACAGAGAGCTGTGTAACGTGGTGGGATCTACTGTGTCGCGATGGACTGAAACTCACACTGCATCTTGCTGTAAAATTAGAATTTTATTCTAAAGCTGAACCATCTACAGCTCAATGTGACAAGGACGAAGGAGCTCATTGTGGATCTCAGGAGGGCAAAAACACCAGTGACACCTGTTTCCATCCAGGGGGTCCCTGTGGACACTGTGGAGGAGTATAAGTACCTGGGGGTGTTCTTTAATAATAAGCTGGACTGGACTTGAAACACTGAGGCTGTCTACAAAAAGGGCCAAAGCCGACTCTTTTTCCTAAGGAGGCTGAGGTCCTTTAACATCTGCCGGACGATGCTGAGGATGTTCTATGAGTCTGTTGTGGCCAGTACGATCTTCTTCGCTGTCACATGCTGGGGCAGTGGGCTGAGGGTCGCAGATAACAACAGACTAAACAAACTGATCAGGAGGGCCGGTGATGTCGTAGGGGAGGAGCTGGACACCCTGACGACCATGGCAGAGAGAAGGGATGCTGTCCAGGCTTCAGTCCATCTTGGACAATGTCTCTCACCCTCTCTACGACACACTGGCCCAGCAGAGGAGCACCTTCAGCAGTAGACTCCTCTCACCCAGATGCCCCACAGAGCGCCACAGGAAATCATTCCTGTCTGTGGTCATCAATCTCTACAACACCTCCCTCAGAGAGTCAGACACCCCCCCTCTGTAATTCTGAACTCAAAACGTAGACTATTATTCTTTTGCACTTTTGCACATTAATACTGTACATTTGATCTTGTATATACATATATAGTTATATATATGTATTTATATTTTTTGTGCTGAATGTTGTATATATATATATGTTGTTTGTATAATATGTTGTTTGTATATCTGGAGTGTTGTAACGAAAATAATTTCCCTCTGGGATTATTAAAGTATTTCTGATTCTGATTCTGATTCTGATAAAGGGGCCATGACTCCTCTGTTCAGCTGCTGTATACCGTATGTATATACACATTTTTGGTTGAGGTGGGAGTTTTTGAGAATTCCCAGTCCGGAAACTTAAATAATAAAATGTCGGACAGTAGAGTGAACTTTCAGGGAGTGATTTCAGACATAGTCTTAAGTCTTAATGGGTTTTTTTGCTGATAAGATAAATATAGAATGGCGCCAGGCTTATCATTTAACAGCACATATCATTTCAATATATTTTGAAACTCTGATTGTTATGAGGCAGATGTCTGCCTATGCCTATTATGTCTATGGGTCCAAAAGTCCAACATTGATCCTTATCTTCAATATTGCAAAAAAACAGACACAAGTTTTTGGGTTGTCTGAAAGATCCTGGATATATTGTTCATTTGTGGATCACATTCAGCAGATTGGTATTTTAATTTCACAAAGAGCTCTGGGAGACAAAGCTGATGTATGAATGAATGTCATAGTGAGCAGAGTGGAGGGCCACTATCTTACAGAGTGCACGCAAGCTACTAACATTACATTAATTTGGCATTTACTTGTCCAAAGCAACTTGCAATCAATGCAGTGCATTACTGGCATGTGACTCATGTGACAGATATGTGAAATAATAATAATAATAACTTTATTTGTATAGCACTTTTTTAAAACAATGTTTACAAAGTGCTTTACACAAAAACAGCGGCAATAAAGATAAAAGAATAAAGATTTAAGGCAATATATGAATTAAACAGAACAAAATACACACCAGCAATCAGAGATACTATTAAAAGATTAAAAACATAACACACATTAAATAGTGTGTGCAGAAAAAATAAGAAAATCACAAGGACACACAGGAAATATTTAAAAAATTCACATAAAAGTCTGATTATAAAAGTGTGATTTTAGCACATATTTAGCTAATTTTCTCAGGCAGGCAGTTTCAAAGTTCAGGCGCCCTAATAGAGAAAGAGCATTTCCTTTATTGAGTCTGGACTGTGGAACCAACAAAATTAAATAAATGTAAGTAAATTGAGCAAGTCAGGCTGAAATTATTTGTAATAATATGTAAATAATATGAATTGAATGGTAATTACTATTTTTTTCCATTCCAGCAGGAGAATGAAATCCATGGTGCAGGAAGGTCAGCAGTGCTAGTTTTAACTTGAAGATCAGCTCTTTTACTTTTACTCTAACATTAATACTGCACACCGTTCTTAATCCAATTTCTCACCATTATACTTTATTTACACTGTTGTTATAAATTTTAAAAATAGTTTTACATCTTCTTGTATATTTTTTTATGTATTGTTATCATATATTGTAGTATAATACATATTTGTATACTTCTTATAGAATGGGAGCAACTGTAACAGAGCCCAGGGATCAATACAGTGAGTTTAATTTTACTTTAATCCAGTCAGGGCAGTATTCATCCCTGGGGTTAGCACTGATAATGATTTGTAGGCAGAAGAGTTCAAGAAAGAGAAAACCAGTGCTGGATAAAAACGCTTATTAAACACTCAAACCACAGAACGAAGGTGCCACAAAAAAAAAAAATAAGAAAAATGCAACTGTGATCCATCAGTGTTGGCAGGTAATCTATCAATCTTACAACCATATCTTATTACCTTATTTGTAATTGGATGATTTACAGTGATGCACAGCATCCTCATATCCTCAACAACTTCCAATGCCTCAAGTAAAAAGTTGCTTATCTGATATGTGTCGTGATTAAACCTTTCTGCATACACTGTTATTTCTGCACTCTAATTGCTCCTGCCTGTAAATCATGGTGGTGTTGAGACGCAGGTCAGGATAACTTGCTTCATTGACGTATCAAGCTAGATAAACACTAAATAAAGTAAACATCCTTGTTTACCAAGACTTTGAATACGGGTTCTCTCCACCTATTAGCCTGTGAAAGATCTGACTTGGAAATGTATGTTGATTGATACCGCCTTGCCCAAAGGTACTGTGTCACACTGGGAGTGTTTGTTTGCCGCTGTGTGTGTAGCTCTCTGCTTCCAGGTGCTGTGTTTGGCTGCTCTGTCATCACAACCTCGCCATGATCTTTCTGTGAGATCTTTATCCACCATGTCCTGGACAAATACTCAGGGTTGGGAAGTAAACCTGGAGCAGGATGTGGCCACTGCCTGTATGTATGGAGGTGATAGACTTCTCACACAGCTGCTTGATTGATGGGCTACAGCTGAATGTGAAGTGTTACCACAGGTCAAGGTGAAGGCGGGCACACACACACACACACGCACACATTTAGTTTGATATTGAATAGCAACCACAATGTGGCTGTACAATCACTCTGTCCTCAGAAACCACATAAATCTATTGTGTGCACAGTTTCCCAGAACTGAGTGCACTGATACAGTACGCTCTGCAACAAACGACAGACTGCAGGACAGTTGAATCAAAACTCTGTCAGTATAAAATGTACATATTATCCTGACAAGCATTCTGTTTTACTACTGGCCTAGACCGTCATCAGATCAGCTGGACACAAAATAATGGGAAACAAAATTCAACATATATGATGAATAAAATGTTCCAAAATAAATGTTCAATTAGGTTAAAGCTGTTTTGTTTCTGAAACCAACAATTGCTTTAGAACTCAAATTACTTTCTCAAAACTGTGTCTTACCTGTAATTAGTACCAAAAAAATAGGTCATTTTAGGGTATTTATGTCCTTAAAAGACTAATGTTACCAGCAGGGGCGGAGCCAGACCTTTTAAACAATCATGGACCCTAGTGGGGTCAGGGGCATGCTCCCTTTAGGAGGTTTCACATTTACGCAGCTATTTGCACTATTTTTCAAGCCAGGTGAGATAATAGAATGACTACAAATCTGTACATCATTTAGGAAAGATTGGGCAACTGTCTTCATTGTTCTGAAACCAGAACACAACCAATACTGAGGAGGCTGAGGGAAAATTACACCAAGTTCAAGTTATTTTAAAAGCCTAAAGGCTCTGGGCTTTATGAGAAAACATTCAGGGCTTGAAGCCACCCCCAAGTTTAGGAAATAATCCTAATAATAATCCTTCTACCCCTTCTATCACTTCTTACAGAATTTGTATCACAATTTGTAGAAATAATTTCAGTTTCAATTTTACCTGTGACGTAAAGGTCTAGAGTCTAGCCATGAAGTTGCAACTAACTGAACACTACTCAATTTCTGCCAATAGTGCCTCCTAAATTTTACATATTGGACCTTTAAAGTGTGCAAGAAATTGCTGTAATGAACTTAACAGAAGAAAAACAGACATGCTCAGCTTGCAGCTACAGTATGATCTTTATTAATGACAACTTTGTGGGCTTACAATCTTATCACGCTAAAGTACGCTAATACATTCGACATAAATAGAGGAATCATGTATGCAGATAAAGCTGACACGGATTCAATTCTGGTCCTATTAATTTACGCTCATTACACAATATCTGGGTCCTGTTTTTTTTTTTCTCATCTCCCGCCTCGACGTGACTTGTTGCTGGAGAGAGTGGTCGCCTTTACGCTGTGGCCAAAGGTGGAGCAGTCTGTCTTGAGGCACCCGCAGGCGTCGATGTGGGTGTAGGTGTAGGTGAGCTCAGTGTTGTCGGGGCAGGAGAGCTGGATCTTCCGCTCAGATGTGGCCAGCTCCTGGCAGCAAGAGCAGGTGTGCTGCAAGGCTCTCATTTTGGTGGAGTAGCTGAGAGGAGCGAGAGAGCGAGAGAGAGAGGGATGGTGTGAGGATAAGAAAAGGGAATTCAATTCACTTCAAGAAGGGGGAATAAAAGAATAGTATGGATTTGCATTATGGGAAATGTAGGATTCAGCATATTTAGACCAATATAACGAGGTCAGGATAACTTCGGTCTCTGCTCCGCAGATTTTGAGCATTCTCTTTTAAATCTGTCTCTTATGATTTACCCAACTTCGTGGAAATTCCCCTTTAACACTGATGATGAGGAAAATGACATGGGGGGGACTTACAAGGTGAAGGTACCACATGCTCCATCACAGGATGTGACATTGATCCTCTCTTTGGAGTGGCAGCCCTGGCTCTCCAGGTAAACAGGAGTGGTGGACACACTGCACTGTCGACCCTTCGGAATACCTGCAGCAGAGAGGGGAGAGCATCTCATTAGTCCACGTGTACTCATCATAGCATCTTCAAAAGACTATAGCGCAAACACAACTACACTTGGTGTTCATAGGTGAAAACCATTGACTGTATCAATCGCCAACAACAATGGTGGCTGCTAAAGAGGTTAGTGTACATGCTGCTAGCATCAATTCTATCAGAACTGGAGAGTATTTATTCATTGAAAGAGGAAAGAAAGGTACTGAGGGCTTTTCTCCATGGAAAAGATGTTTTCTCTCTTCGCCCAACTGTCTTCAGTAAGTGTTTGACTACGTTATATGGTTCATTGATCTGATTGGTTAAAGTTCACCTGTGATAGACAGTGATAGATAAATGGTTCATCCAATCACCTGCAGAGTATTTTTCACAGGTGTTCTAAACACTTTCCAATGACAACTTTCCAGATGGTTCTGTGTACCAAACCATTTGGCACAGTCAGGTTACAGAACTGATTTCAATGGTTTTGCTTATTTTACATGGAAGGCTCTAAGGGCTTTGGGTAATCAGAGAGAGAGGAGAGTGTGATCAGGCCACAGGAGTGTGAATAATACACAGATATGAAAAACTCATGGAAGGAATACATACAGACACGGCAGCATCCGTCTGGAGCTATGGTCTCAGTCCCCTGCAGGAGACAAACACATTCATCAGTATTCTGTTGGGTCATGTTTCATTCTGCAGAGTCACATTAGACAGCAGGTAGCTGTGTGTGTTTTATATTCCATCATGAAAATCTTCCAAGAACATGACGCTACAGAGATGATGTTTTGCGTGTGTGTGTGTGTGTGTGTGTGTGTGTGTGTGTGTGTGTGTGTGTAGTCTACCGGTATGCAGTCATCAGCGACGTAGGGAGGACAGACAGTCTTAGCCTCGACGGTGATGAACTGATTAGCGATCTGCACGCACTCAAACTTCAAACAGGGGAGTCCAGGGGGGCTCCAAATGATGCCCGGCTATGGAATAACACAACAGAGTCACTTTCATAATCTCCAAAACAACAACCGTGGACTGTTCTTGTGCTGGCTTCTAAATCTAGGATTTAAATCCTTGGACTCTGAGCCATTTTTAGTACCCAGTACCTGTGAGTACCGGCCCATTTCACTCACTGGAGATGTCACACCTTTTGGAGTATGAACACCAAGAGCAAAAGAAACTTTTTTACCTTTTTTGCAACATATCTTTAACTGCACATCTTGCGGCTGGTTTTATTTTGCATGTGTGTGTGCTGCAATAGCACCAAAATAGATGCAGCTGTACAAATGAGTGTGCTCTGGTAGCATCATTATTGTATTTAAAAGACAACAGTGATGTTAGTGACCTTACAGATATATCAAATCTAATCTCCTCTTGTCATTCTCTCTCTCTGAACACAGACAAACTGCATGCATACACATACACACATACCAACCTTTAATAGGTGTGTAGAGTTGTTCGGCAGTATGACAACGCAGCCTATGGGGACACACTTCCCACAGCACTTATCAGGGGTGTGCTGGTACTCATAACCCTGAATAGCGAAACAAAGACAAACTCAGTAACAAAAACATAATATGAAACATGTAAAACCAGCACCAGGACAGGTCTGTCAACACTAAATGTTAGGATTTCCATTTAGGGTTGACATTAGTCTTCTGGTGGGTTTACAGTACAAATCAGGTAACTATAAATGATAAATGCACATATCTTCATGATTTCTGTTAGTTATTTCCAGTAACGGAGATGAGTGATGAATCATACTTTTAGATTTATTTTTAATACAATTCTGCAATGATGAAATATAGACCTGAAAATATAATATATATAATATATATATAATTTTTTAATTTCTTTTTACAACCCCTTATAATCAAAAAGGCCTCACGAACCAGGAATCTAAAAGTAAGTTTGTCTGTAAGTCTGAGTTTGCATGTGACTGATAAAAGCTTTGAATAGTGATTAAAAAGGACATAATAGAAGTAACATTAACAACAACACACCAACACTTCTCCAGAGACACACCACTCACACTCCCCATCCTGTCTTGTGTCCTCTCAGAATCTTGTTTCCACTTACGAATCAGTACACTCAGGTAAAATAACCCATGTTTAAATTGGTTTTGTGCTCTTTCGTACCCAATAGTTTTACTGAACTGATGCGTTTCAACTACGTAAACATTTTAAAATCTTTTGTTTTTTAAAATGTTTTGCTCCTTCCTGATAGTAGATATCATTTTAAGTAAGGAGGAAAAGTCTAGAACTGAACAGGCAATACAAGCAGGATGGAATAAGGTAACTGTCAGAGGTCAGTTTTTATGGGCATTAATGTCCGCTATAATAATTACAGTGACACCTGTGTTGGCCTTGCGGAAAAAAAATCAATGAATGTTTGAGAGAAGTAAGTTAGTGAGAGAGGGAAAGGAGGAGAGGGAAAGGAAAGGAAAGAGAGAGAGACCAGTCTTACCAGAGGGCAGAATGTGTCACATGGTTTAAGCTCACAGTCTATTTGGTGCAGACTGCTGCCGGTATCTGGCTTGTTAGTACAAACGCAGGTTTCACATGGCTTCATGGGAACCTTCTCTCCAATCTGGATGAACAGAAGGTCAACACAGATACAGATGTTTGTAAATGCAGTTACACCTCACAACCTAATGCAGTCCAGTACAACACCACTGTAACTCTAACCTCCATAATAACATATAAATGCCTCTGACAGTGTCAGTCAGAAAGAGAACATTAGGACAGTCATCTGTCTGTTTGCAGCTGTAGAAAAGTTTCCACTGAGTGTATGTTCACAATAAACCTAAGTAGGGATGGAAAGAGGGCTAAAATATGAACCAGCTTTATTGTTATGGCTTATGAATTCAACTTTTCATGTGTGAAAGGGATACTGTAGGAAGTAAAGTTACTTTGATCTTTGGCCTCAAAAGATCTAGTGCACTGACGCCACAGTGTGGCCATTTGTAGCGCTTTATAAGGGCTTTATGTTTTGTTATAATCATGAAAAATGAGGCAAAGAAGAAAGATTTTTTTACCTGGTTTCACTAATGGATCCATAATTATATATTCAATTTGGGGTTCTTATCTACCTCTGTGCCACAGTGGCCAAACAACGCCCATTCTTTAGTGCAGAATTCACTTCTGAATAATACAGCCAGGAACTCTGGTCTGTAGGGCCCATTAAGATTTCTTCGCTGTCTCTCTTGTTTCGGACTGAAAGTTATTGAGTATTCAGGACCTTAATACTGAGTGATCATAGAACCCCTTTTAGTGTCATTTGTACAAAGAGTTTGCTTGCCTAATGAAAATGACTTTTTTCATTATTGCAGAAACATAGTGTTTCATTCAATTCAATTCAATTCAATTCAATTTTATTTGTAAAGCGCCAATTCATAACAGAAGTTATCTCAGGACACTCTTTAACATTAATTACAGAGACCCAACAGTACCACCATGAGCAAGCACACATTGTGAATGTACTTGTGAGATATGTTCTCCAAGTGGATATTTTTTTTATTATGCGATTGGGAAATGGTTCTCAGGCTCCTTTTCCTCTCAGCTGAGATCTGTAGAATCAGTCCTGATTGAGTAAATAATGTGTGTACTTTTGCCACCTCTGAATTTAAAGTCATAATTTAGTGCTGATGATCTGTGACTAAACCTGTACAAAGCCTATTATTCCCAGACAAGACTTAGGTATCCTATAAAAGTCATAGAATAACTGTTCACCATTACTACCAGTTATTATGTCTAGAAATGTTATGTGATTATAACACTTTACAAATATTTCTCATTACATCTGATGTTTTTGGTTGTAGAAAAATTACAACGCCCTCCTGTTTTTTCATGTATTCTGTTCTAGTCACATCAGTTTCACATGGAGATGGTAGATGTGAGATCTCACCTGATATTCATGGTTGTTAAGGACACACACATCCTTCATCTCTGTGAAGGAAACAGACCAATCAATGAATGAATTTTACATGTGCTGCAACAATCACGGTGATGAAAATGAAACCTGGCTATTAAGTTGCACAACTCACCGCAGGTATAATTGACACAGCAGACTCCTTTAGTGATGGTTGGAGTGTATCCAATAGGACAGGATGCCACAGATTCAGGGCACAGCTTCATATCACACTCTATTCAAAGACACAGATGGATGAATGTTCATACAGCTATAACCATAATAATAACAACTGAGGAGCTCTTGTAAAATAGCCTAAAGGGCCTGTGGTTTTCATAACAGGTGACAAAAGAGCATGTTGTGCTCATTTGTGATTTCTTGCCTCTGTGTCTTGTCCATTACAATCGTGATATGTTCAATGTCCATGGGTTTTATCTTACTTTTACCAACAACAGATGTCATATCAAAGTTCTGATCTATATGAATATTCACAGACACAGTTCCTGTATATTAGAATTCCAGCTTCTTGCATTACTGGTACAAGAGTTTCTTGGTGGATCATTCACTTACAACACCATGCATCAGAGGTCCTGTTGCACTGAGTAGTCCTATACATTTATGGACACCTGCCTGCTTATCAGAATAGTAATAATACAGTTTATATACTTAGAAATACAGACTGCATTGACTCAAGCAGTTTCTACCTACTTACCACATCTCTCCTTTTGACAGCAGTCAACAGTATCAGTGACCTTGACCTGACCCTCCTGGTCACAGCTGACGGGTGGCTCTGTTGGACAGAACAGGGGACGGCAGGTGACCTGCAGTGTGTCGTCACATATACACTCATCACAGCCATCTGTCCATGTTGTGTTGGCCTGAGGACACAGTGTTTATTTTAGGTTCATGGTTGGAGGCATGACATTATCAGTTATAACTGGCCTGTAAAAAGGTTATGTTAAAATGAGACGGGGATTGTAGATTAATGATTTACCTTTGTCCATTTTCCATTAGGGAGTCGACAGATTTCTATAAGGAGAAAAATATGAAGCATGAAGTCCATTTATTAGGGTTCTGGTTAGCCTGTCTCAGGAGCCTAGTCAATTCTAAATGTATTCTCCCTGATATATTTTTTAGAACAATTCCTTTAATCTCCCAGTTCATATTGTAACACTCGTTTACCACTAAAACTGGATTATTAGTCCTTAATCCATAAAGCACAAAAGGATTGGATCTAGAGAGGCGGCATGGGCTGGCAGTTTCCACCCCTAAAAAATGTCTTGCCACCCCAGTTTGGTGTAAAACAATGTCAAATTTAACACATTAATATAAAATAATTAATAATAACATGTTAAAAATGTATTTAATTATCTGTTATAATCAAACTGTCAAATATCTAAATTTTCCCAAGCAAATATTGATATATGTGATTGTTTGTGATTAAATCAGCATATATTTCTACCACCCCTTAAAGTCTCCATGCCACTGCATTGTGTGGTAGCCAATAGCTGCTGTACAGCTGCAGATAGTCAATTTGCATGTCCCTTCTTTAAACTGGCTAATACTGCCACAGTCTTCCAATAGACTCAGACTCCAGCCACAGATTTGACTCCTTGAGCTTCAGCTTTCAGAATCAGAATCAGAATTAATGACAGTCTAGCTCCATCTAAAGATAAATGTGTGTTGTTAACATAAATAGACTGAAAGAGACAGATGTGAAGTAGAAACCTATATTTGTGTGCAGGCTTCTATCCAAAAGAAAATAATGACATTTTTCAATGTTTCTATAATCATTACATTACTACAATATCCCTGCATTGCAAAGTTATGGTAAAACACAGGGAAAAGTTTGTGATAGATTGTCATCTAAGATCAGCTGCAGACCTGGGTTTACAGCATCAAAGTTGAACATGTCATTATTACACTGTCCAAACTTGTGATTTTAAAGATAGAATAACAAATGTGGCTTTCAAAATGTTCAGGCAGGACACTCTTACATGCAACTGCTACCGTGCAGTATGTATATGTGTATGTATATGTTATGTGCTCTTACCACAGGAGGGCACGCATTCATTGATGCTGGAAGAGAGGAGGTAGGTGCCATTTGGGCAGAAGCAACCCTCCAGCTTCACGTCCATCATGGCACTGAACTCGTCGACAGCATAGATGAATTTCTCATTGTACCTACAGAAATCAGGCCACACCTTGTTATTGTATGTGAGTCAAAGCATAAATGAATGAAAAAAACTAGCAACAACTATGTATGTATGTGAATTACTGTACCATGAATCACAGGTAGGCTCCACCAGAGGGCCACAGGCCTCATACACTTTGGGGCTTGGACATTTAAATTCTATGAAGAGATGAAGAGAGAACAGACATTGTGTTTTTTAATAAGGCTCATTGCTGTGATGTTGGTGTGAAATTATGAGTGTGTAATAGTGCTTGTCATTGGCAGGGAATATCTTAGTTGTATACCACAGAGTCCTTTGGTGGCACTCCTCCAGTCAATGCACACTCCGCTCTCGGCGCAGGCATCAGCGTAGGTTTGTAAGCTGGTGCAGCCGATGTGATTAATGTGCATGTTGCAGATGTCAAACTCACATGCCACAACAAATGGACTGTAGTCAACGACCTTGTGGCAAGCTTCAAACACACTGGGAAAGATGGGATTTATAGTTAGTATGGACACAAGGTGAATGCATCATCACACATTATCAAGCTGAGACAAGTGGATAAACCAGTAATGTAATGCTTGCCAGCTGTGTCTAACAAGGCCTTTTCAGAGATGGATAGGTGCTGGACATGACAGGATGGTTATGGAAAGAGCCACAACACAGCACTGGAAGAGAAGTGTTTTTTGTTCTCTTAACACTTGCACTTGAAGCCCCAATTAAAGGTCCAGTGTGTAACATTCAGGAGGATCTATTGGCAGAAATGGATAATATTCATAAGTATGTTTTCATTAGAGTATAATCACCTGAATATAAGAATCTTAGTGTTTTTATTAACGTAGAATGAGCTGTTTTTATCTACAGAGGGAGTGGGTCCTCTTCTACATAGTACGCATGTTGAACCACCATGTTTATACAGTAGTCCAGAATGGACAAACCAAACACTGGCACTAAATAAAGACTTTTGCCAATCGATCCTCCTAAATATTACACACTGGACCTTTAGTCTGACCTCCTTGTATTGATGTGACTTTATGTGAACAGCATTTAATTCAGACTTGAACAGTGTTGTTATGAGGATCATGTCTGAAAGTGGTTCAATAATAAAGTGTGAGTGGACAGAGAATCTCCCTCTATCAATTTAAATATTTGTAAATTCACAGATAGAGATGGCTGGTTTTCCCACTTTTCCTCCAACAGTACCTGCTTTTCATGATCTCACAGACGGTTGTATTGCAGGGAGTAGTCGTAGGTGTTGGTGGTGGTGGTGGTGTGGGTGGAACTGGATTACAGTAACTGTTGTTAGTATGCCACTCGTGTGCCATATGAGGACATGACGGATCAATTTTGCCGTTGGGCAACATGCAGTCATCTGTCCGGTTGTTGTCGCACGTGCCTAGAGAAACCATCATCATTAGTAAAAACATGACAACTCAAGTCAGCCCTGTACTGTTGTTTTCCTCACTAGATATGTACAATTTTTACTGAAAGCTGTTTTTTTTCAACATTTAATTATACTGAATGCAGCATGTGTCAAGTAGGTGCAATAGATAGATCTGTATCAGCTTCTGTATATATGCATATCATTTATCAACTGATACCAAACTGTAAGATGTTATAAATTTCTACTGCAGAACTCACCACACTGTCCCACAGTGTTCCCACCAAATTGACTAAAGGGCAGGTAGATACTGAATATGAGCCCGGAGAAGGTGATCTTGGCATGGATTTTAGGGATGAGGAGCACTGTATCAATACCGGTGGTGGTTAAACGGAAGTCACCATTCTGGTATGCAGGACTCACAGCCTTGTCATTCACAGAAATCTAAAACAGAAAGCATTATGAAATCAATGATGAAAGCTCTTCTTTGGGCAGTTTTAAAGTATATGTATATCATTACAGTGTATATAAGTATGTATATAAGTCCAAACCAGTGGTTGCATTTGCACTGAAGGCACAAAGGGGGGAATTGCCTCTTGGATAATGGCTAGAGTTTGAATTAAAAATGTGCTATTTGATTACCTGGTTTATGAAATCGCCATTGATATCCTTCTGTGTAATAAAGATCTTGTAGTTTTGGTAGAAGACAGTAATAGACTGTGGACAGGACAAGCCATCAGCTGCACCACAGTAGTAGTTATCGATCATCACACTGAAGTTGTATCTGGGCAATATCTCTTTCACCAGCCAGTAGGAACAGTTGCCTTGAAAACCATAGTAGGTTCCATCGAAGGTGACATAATGGGGGTCTCCCCAACCGTAGCAGACACCTTCAAAAATTACATTTTTAAAATGACATTTCAAGTCATCTGGTCCATCCATTGTTAATAATAAGTAATATACAGTAAGTAAAATTAAAACACAAAACAAATCATTGTTAAGCTTTTACATGTTTAACCTGAGGATTATGCAATATTTTAGTAGGCCAGACTTACATTGGCATTCATAGTGAGAGCAGCATCCGTCATCATCTGTCACCTCAACAGCATGGAAGTTATTTGCGCACACTACAGGCTTTGGTGTTGGACAGGAGGTCTGAGTACGGGTCACTTTACCATTAATGCATTTTGCTAGCGTACAGTTTCTTTCCTTCCACACTTCCCCATCCTATGAGGGTAATCATACATTGGATTTAAAGAAAAAAAGAGAGGATTAGTGTTGTCATAGAGTACCATAGAAATTTGTCATGCAAAATCAACACCAAATATCATGATAGCATTTTAAGGGTTGAGCAGAGGAAGTTAAATATGTACAGAATGGAAATAAATAAGTACCTTTCTTGGAGGATATTCATGAAGACAGTCTACATGACATTGCTGTTTAACCACTACATGACAGGTTTCGCTGCAGTACCCTATGTAACAATAGCCATCATTGTCCGTCTCATTATAGACTATGGAACCTAAAAATGAAGCACAGGAAGATTGTTGAAAAAGAGTTTGTCACATATAACGTGTGATTTCATATATTACAGCGTCTATTCACACAATGTATACACTATATCCCATAGATATATGTAGATGCGTATACTCTTGCATGTTATTTTACCACACCAATTACTGTGACTGGGTTATTTTACACATTTAGTTTAATAGACAATAAACGTTCTCTTTTACAGGAGACAAATATGAAGATCCCGATGCATTGAAAACTCAGCCAGCAGAAAGCTGTCACAAAATGTTACGGCAACATACTGTACTGTGCCTTTGAGAGGATGAGCTGTTTGACTTGTGGGAGATAAAACACTAACTTTAAGAGCCAAATTTTGATTGCTAAAATGATAAACCTTAATAAATAAATTCACGCTCTTGGCCAATAGCAAACTTTCTTCATCATCTACTTTTATTTAACCCTGCCGCTGGAGTATTATTGCTTCACAAAAAAGATATAGTTTGGAGGTATGAGGCAGGAGTAGATGGTACAAATATGCATGTTGAATAAGCTATGTCAGAATCAGAATCAGAATCAGATATACTTTAATAATCCCGTGGGGAAATTACTTGTGAACATTTTGTTCCGTTAGCAACCAAGCCAACTGGCTTGCAAACTGACATATTCCTTTTCTCTTCCAAGTTCAATTAAAGTAAGAAGGTAAAGTAACTAGCTCGGTCAGACCAACGAAAAAAAACCTTGAAACATTAATTCAAAGTATCTGTTAGTAGTGAAGGATAGCTCCAAGCATTCTAGATGTAAAACAGCAAACCTGCTGGCCACGTTTTTCTAATGATTTTAAGTGGACATAAGGTTTTTTTCACATGCATAGTAGCAACATGGTGTATATTTTGCATTCTACTTCAGAACACAAGAATGTTAAAACTTTAGTTGTGCCCTGAATGCCACAATACTGTTGCTGAGTAAGGGAAAACCCAAATTTGAAAGTGGACAATCACAATGATGTCTGCCATAGATGTGACACAACTAAAAAGTAAACATGGTAGTGATTAATCAGAACTTACCAGGGGGAAACAATGTACCATTATGAGAGCAATGGCAAGGGGGATATACTTGAGAAGCTGTTTGGATGGGAGGAAAGGTTCCTCCTGTCACTACAGGTTCCTTAGTTGTGGTAGTAATGGTAGTAAAGGTAACTGTAGGTGGCTGAGTTGTAGTTGTAGTTTCAGTTGTTGTAGAAGGTGTTGTGGAAGTGGTAGTTGAAGGTGTTGGACACCCACAGCATTTGAATTTAATCTCATAATCAAAACACTCTTGCTGAAGTCCTTGTTGTTTGTTGTTGCAAATGAGACCCACATCTTTATTGCAGGTCACATCTTGTCCCACCTGTGACATGGAAAGATCTGGGAAATTAATTGCTCTACACTGGACTTCTTCTGGAGCTCTGCAACCATAACCAGCAGCGATTATTTTCTGGATGGATTCATCTTCACCACCATTAGGGCCTGGTGTGGGCTTTCCCAGACTGATCCAGTTTGACCAACCACATGTCATATCATGTCCCCCAGGGCAAGGTGTGGTTGTCGGTGGCTGAGTTGTTGTTGTAGTTATAGTTGTGGTAGGTGTAGTGGTTTTCGGTGGCTGAGTTGTCGTAGTTACAGTTGTGGTAGGTGTAGTGGTTGTCGGTGGCTGAGTTGTTGTTGTAGTTACAGTTGTGGTAGGCGTAGTGGTTATTGGTGGCTGAGTTGTAGTTTCAGTTGTGGTAGAAGGTTTTGTGGTTGTACTAGTAGTCGTAGGTGGCTGAGTTGTAGTTGGAGTCTCAGGTGTGGTAGAAGGTGTTGTGGAAGTGGTAGTTGAAGGTGTTGGACAACCACAGCATTTGAATTTAATCTCATAATCAAAACACTCTTGCTGAAGTCCTTGTTGTTTGTTGTTGCAAATGAGACCCACATCTTTATTGCAGGTCACATCTTGTCCCACCTGTGACATGGAAAGATCTGGGAAATTAATTGCTCTACACTGGACTTCTTCTGGAGCTCTGCAACCGTAACCAGCAGCGATTATTTTCTGGATGGATTCATCTTCACCACCATTAGGGCCTGGTGTGGGCTTTCCCAGACTGATCCAGTTTGACCAACCACATGTCATATCATGTCCCCCAGGGCAAGGTGTGGTTGTCGGTGGCTGAGTTGTTGTTGTAGTTATAGTTGTGGTAGGTGTAGTGGTTGTCGGTGGCTGAGTTGTCGTAGTTACAGTTGTGGTAGAAGGTGTTGTGGTTGTACTAGTAGTCGTAGGTGGCTGAGTTGTAGTTGGAGTCTCAGGTGTGGTAGAAGGCGTTGTGGAAGTGGTAGTTGAAGGTGTTGGACATGCACAGCATTTGAATTTAATCTCATAATCAAAACACTCTTGCTGAAGTCCTTGTTGTTTGTTGTTGCAAATGAGACCCACATCGTTATTGCAGGTCACATCTTGTCCCACCTGTGACATGGAAAGATCTGGGAAATTAATTGCTCTACACTGGACTTCTTCTGGAGCTCTGCAACCATAACCAGCAGCGATTATTTTCTGGATGGATTCATCTTCACCACCATTAGGGCCTGGTGTGGGCTTTCCCAGACTGATCCAGTTTGACCAACCACATGTCATATCATGTCCCCCAGGGCAAGGTGTGGTTGTCGGTGGCTGAGTTGTTGTTGTAGTTATAGTTGTGGTAGGTGTAGTGGTTGTCGGTGGCTGAGTTGTCGTAGTTACAGTTGTGGTAGGTGTAGTGGTTGTCGGTGGCTGAGTTGTTGTTGTAGTTACAGTTGTGGTAGGCGTAGTGGTTATTGGTGGCTGAGTTGTAGTTTCAGTTGTGGTAGAAGGTTTTGTGGTTGTACTAGTAGTCGTAGGTGGCTGAGTTGTAGTCGGAGTCTCAGGTGTGGTAGAAGGTGTTGTGGAAGTGGTAGTTGAAGGTGTTGGACAACCACAGCATTTGAATTTAATCTCATAATCAAAACACTCTTGCTGAAGTCCTTGTTGTTTGTTGTTGCAAATGAGACCCACATCTTTATTGCAGGTCACATCTTGTCCCACCTGTGACATGGAAAGATCTGGGAAATTAATTGCTCTACACTGGACTTCTTCTGGAGCTCTGCAACCGTAACCAGCAGCGATTATTTTCTGGATGGATTCATCTTCACCACCATTAGGGCCTGGTGTGGGCTTTCCCAGACTGATCCAGTTTGACCAACCACATGTCATATCATGTCCCCCAGGGCAAGGTGTGGTTGTCGGTGGCTGAGTTGTTGTTGTAGTTATAGTTGTGGTAGGTGTAGTGGTTGTCGGTGGCTGAGTTGTCGTAGTTACAGTTGTGGTAGAAGGTGTTGTGGTTGTACTAGTAGTCGTAGGTGGCTGAGTTGTAGTTGGAGTCTCAGGTGTGGTAGAAGGCGTTGTGGAAGTGGTAGTTGAAGGTGTTGGACATGCACAGCATTTGAATTTAATCTCATAATCAAAACACTCTTGCTGAAGTCCTTGTTGTTTGTTGTTGCAAATGAGACCCACATCGTTTATTGCAGGTCACATCTTGTCCCACCTGTGACATGGAAAGATCTGGGAAATTAATTGCTCTACACTGGACTTCTTCTGGAGCTCTGCAACCATAACCAGCAGCGATTATTTTCTGGATGGATTCATCTTCACCACCATTAGGGCCTGGTGTGGGCTTTCCCAGACTGATCCAGTTTGACCAACCACATGTCATATCATGTCCCCCAGGGCAAGGTGTGGTTGTCGGTGGCTGAGTTGTTGTTGTAGTTATAGTTGTGGTAGGTGTAGTGGTTGTCGGTGGCTGAGTTGTCGTAGTTACAGTTGTGGTAGGTGTAGTGGTTGTCGGTGGCTGAGTTGTTGTTGTAGTTACAGTTGTGGTAGGCGTAGTGGTTATTGGTGGCTGAGTTGTAGTTTCAGTTGTGGTAGAAGGTTTTGTGGTTGTACTAGTAGTCGTAGGTGGCTGAGTTGTAGTCGGAGTCTCAGGTGTGGTAGAAGGTGTTGTGGAAGTGGTAGTTGAAGGTGTTGGACACCCACAGCATTTGAATTTAATCTCATAATCAAAACACTCTTGCTGAAGTCCTTGTTGTTTGTTGTTGCAAATGAGACCCACATCTTTATTGCAGGTCACATCTTGTCCCACCTGTGACATGGAAAGATCTGGGAAATTAATTGCTCTACACTGGACTTCTTCTGGAGCTCTGCAACCATAACCAGCAGCGATTATTTTCTGGATGGATTCATCTTCACCACCATTAGGGCCTGGTGTGGGCTTTCCCAGACTGATCCAGTTTGACCAACCACATGTCATATCATGTCCCCCAGGGCAAGGTGTGGTTGTCGGTGGCTGAGTTGTTGTTGTAGTTATAGTTGTGGTAGGTGTAGTGGTTGTCGGTGGCTGAGTTGTCGTAGTTACAGGTGTGGTAGGTGTAGTGGTTGTCGGTGGCTGAGTTGTAGTAGTTATAGTCGTGGTAGGTGTGGTGGTTGTCGGTGGCTGAGTTGTAGTAGTTACAGTTGTGGTAGGTGTAGTGGTTGTTGGTGGCGGAGTTGTTGTTGTAGTTACAGTTGTGGTAGGCGTAGTGGTTATTGGTGGCTGAGTTGTAGTTTCAGTTGTGGTAGAAGGTGTTGTGGTTGTACCAGTAGTCGTAGGTGGCTGAGTTGTAGTTGGAGTCTCAGGTGTGGTAGAAGGTGTTGTGGAAGTGGTAGTTGAAGGTGTTGGACATGCACAGCATTTGAATTTAATCTCATAATCAAAACACTCTTGCTGAAGTCCTTGTTGTTTGTTGTTGCAAATGAGACCCACATCTTTATTGCAGGTCACATCTTGTCCCACCTGTGACATGGAAAGATCTGGGAAATTAATTGCTCTACATTGGACTTCTTCTGGAGCTCTGCAACCATAACCAGCGGCGATTATTTTCTGGATGGATTCATCTTCACCACCATTAGGGCCTGGTGTGGGCTTTCCCAGACTGATCCAGTTTGACCAACCACATGTCATATCATGTCCCCCAGGGCAAGGTGTGGTTGTCGGTGGCTGAGTTGTTGTTGTAGTTATAGTTGTGGTAGGTGTAGTGGTTGTCGGTGGCTGAGTTGTCGTAGTTACAGTTGTGGTAGGTGTAGTGGTTGTCGGTGGCTGAGTTGTTGTTGTAGTTACAATTGTGGTAGGCGTAGTGGTTATTGGTGGCTGAGTTGTAGTTTCAGTTGTGGTAGAAGGTTTTGTGGTTGTACTAGTAGTCGTAGGTGGCTGAGTTGTAGTCGGAGTCTCAGGTGTGGTAGAAGGTGTTGTGGAAGTGGTAGTTGAAGGTGTTGGACACCCACAGCATTTGAATTTAATCTCATAATCAAAACACTCTTGCTGAAGTCCTTGTTGTTTGTTGTTGCAAATGAGACCCACATCTTTATTGCAGGTCACATCTTGTCCCACCTGTGACATGGAAAGATCTGGGAAATTAATTGCTCTACACTGGACTTCTTCTGGAGCTCTGCAACCATAACCAGCAGCGATTATTTTCTGGATGGATTCATCTTCACCACCATTAGGGCCTGGTGTGGGCTTTCCCAGACTGATCCAGTTTGACCAACCACATGTCATATCATGTCCCCCAGGGCAAGGTGTGGTTGTCGGTGGCTGAGTTGTTGTTGTAGTTATAGTTGTGGTAGGTGTAGTGGTTGTCGGTGGCTGAGTTGTCGTAGTTACAGGTGTGGTAGGTGTAGTGGTTGTCGGTGGCTGAGTTGTAGTAGTTATAGTCGTGGTAGGTGTGGTGGTTGTCGGTGGCTGAGTTGTAGTAGTTACAGTTGTGGTAGGTGTAGTGGTTGTTGGTGGCGGAGTTGTTGTTGTAGTTACAGTTGTGGTAGGCGTAGTGGTTATTGGTGGCTGAGTTGTAGTTTCAGTTGTGGTAGAAGGTGTTGTGGTTGTACCAGTAGTCGTAGGTGGCTGAGTTGTAGTTGGAGTCTCAGGTGTGGTAGAAGGTGTTGTGGAAGTGGTAGTTGAAGGTGTTGGACATGCACAGCATTTGAATTTAATCTCATAATCAAAACACTCTTGCTGAAGTCCTTGTTGTTTGTTGTTGCAAATGAGACCCACATCTTTATTGCAGGTCACATCTTGTCCCACCTGTGACATGGAAAGATCTGGGAAATTAATTGCTCTACACTGGACTTCTTCTGGAGCTCTGCAACCATAACCAGCAGCGATTATTTTCTGGATGGATTCATCTTCACCACCATTAGGGCCTGGTGTGGGCTTTCCCAGACTGATCCAGTTTGACCAACCACATGTCATATCATGTCCCCCAGGGCAAGGTGTGGTTGTCGGTGGCTGAGTTGTTGTTGTAGTTATAGTTGTGGTAGGTGTAGTGGTTGTCGGTGGCTGAGTTGTCGTAGTTACAGTTGTGGTAGGTGTAGTGGTTGTCGGTGGCTGAGTTGTAGTAGTTATAGTCGTGGTAGGTGTAGTAGTTGTCGGTGGCTGAGTTGTAGTAGTTACAGTTGTGGTAGGTGTAGTGGTTGTTGGTGGCGGAGTTGTTGTTGTAGTTACAGTTGTGGTAGGCGTAGTGGTTATTGGTGGCTGAGTTGTAGTTTCAGTTGTGGTAGAAGGTGTTGTGGTTGTACCAGTAGTCGTAGGTGGCTGAGTTGTAGTTGGAGTCTCAGGTGTGGTAGAAGGTGTTGTGGAAGTGGTAGTTGAAGGTGTTGGACACCCACAGCATTTGAATTTAATCTCATAATCAAAACACTCTTGCTGAAGTCCTTGTTGTTTGTTGTTGCAAATGAGACCCACATCTTTATTGCAGGTCACATCTTGTCCCACCTGTGACATGGAAAGATCTGGGAAATTAATTGCTCTACATTGGACTTCTTCTGGAGCTCTGCAACCATAACCAGCAGCGATTATTTTCTGGATGGATTCATCTTCACCACCATTAGGGCCTGGTGTGGGCTTTCCCAGACTGATCCAGTTTGACCAACCACATGTCATATCATGTCCCCCAGGGCAAGGTGTGGTTGTCGGTGGCTGAGTTGTTGTTGTAGTTATAGTTGTGGTAGGTGTAGTGGTTGTCGGTGGCTGAGTTGTCGTAGTTACAGTTGTGGTAGGCGTAGTGGTTAGTGGTGGCTGAGTTGTAGTTTCAGTTGTGGTAGAAGGTGTTGTGGTTGTACTAGTAGTCGTAGGTGGCTGAGTTGTAGTTGGAGTCTCAGGTGTGGTAGAAGGCGTTGTGGAAGTGGTAGTTGAAGGTGTTGGACACCCACAGCAATTGAATTTAATCTCATAATCAAAACACTCTTGCTGAAGTCCTTGTTGTTTGTTGTTGCAAATGAGACCCACATCTTTATTGCAGGTCACATCTTGTCCCACCTGTGACATGGAAAGATCTGGGAAATTAATTGCTCTACACTGGACTTCTTCTGGAGCTCTGCAACCATAACCAGCAGCGATTATTTTCTGGATGGATTCCTCTTCACCACCATTAGGGCCTGGTGTGGGCTTTCCCAGACTGATCCAGTTTGACCAACCACATGTCATATCATGTCCCCCAGGGCAAGGTGTGGTTGTCGGTGGCTGAGTTGTTGTTGTAGTTATAGTTGTGGTAGGTGTAGTGGTTGTCGGTGGCTGAGTTGTCGTAGTTACAGTTGTGGTAGGTGTAGTGGTTGTCGGTGGCTGAGTTGTGCTTTTTTTTTTGGTGTTGGCTGAGTTGTTGTTGTAGTTACAGTTGTGGTAGGCGTAGTGGTTATTGGTGGCTGAGTTGTAGTTTCAGTTGTGGTAGAAGGTGTTGTGGTTGTACTAGTAGTCGTAGGTGGCTGAGTTGTAGTCGGAGTCTCAGGTGTGGTAGAAGGTGTTGTGGAAGTGGTAGTTGAAGGTGTTTGACAACCACAGCATTTGAATTTAATCTCATAATCAAAACACTCTTGCTGAAGTCCTTGTTGTTTGTTGTTGCAAATGAGACCCACATCTTTATTGCAGGTCACATCTTGTCCCACCTGTGACATGGAAAGATCTGGGAAATTAATTGCTCTACACTGGACTTCTTCTGGAACTCTGCAACCATAACCAGCAGCGATTATTTTCTGGATGGATTCATCTTCACCACCATTAGGGCCTGGTGTGGGCTTTCCCAGACTGATCCAGTTTGACCAACCACATGTCATATCATGTCCCCCAGGACAAGGTGTGGTTGTCGGTGGCTGAGTTGTTGTTGTAGTTATAGTTGTGGTAGGTGTAGTGGTTGTCGGTGGCTGAGTTGTCGTAGTTACAGTTGTGGTAGTTTTTTTTTTTTTTTTTGGGTTGTTTTTTTTTTTTTTTTTTTTTTTTGTGGGGGGGGTGGGTTTTGGTGGCTGAGTTGTAGTTTCAGTTGGTAAAGGTGTTGTGGTTGTACTAGTAGTCGTAGGTGGCTGAGTTGTAGTTGGAGTCTCAGGTGTGGTAGAAGGCGTTGTGGAAGTGGTAGTTGAAGGTGTTGGACATGCACAGCATTTGAATTTAATCTCATAATCAAAACACTCTTGCTGAAGTCCTTGTTGTTTGTTGTTGCAAATGAGACCCACATCTTTATTGCAGGTCACATCTTGTCCCACCTGTGACATGGAAAGATCTGGGAAATTAATTGCTCTACACTGGACTTCTTCTGGAGCTCTGCAACCATAACCAGCAGCGATTATTTTCTGGATGGATTCATCTTCACCACCATTAGGGCCTGGTGTGGGCTTTCCCAGACTGATCCAGTTTGACCAACCACATGTCATATCATGTCCCCCAGGGCAAGGTGTGGTTGTCGGTGGCTGAGTTGTTGTTGTAGTTATAGTTGTGGTAGGTGTAGTGGTTGTCGGTGGCTGAGTTGTCGTAGTTACAGTTGTGGTAGAAGGTGTTGTGGTTGTACTAGTAGTCGTAGGTGGCTGAGTTGTAGTTGGAGTCTCAGGTGTGGTAGAAGGCGTTGTGGAAGTGGTAGTTGAAGGTGTTGGACATGCACAGCATTTGAATTTAATCTCATAATCAAAACACTCTTGCTGAAGTCCTTGTTGTTTGTTGTTGCAAATGAGACCCACATCTTTATTGCAGGTCACATCTTGTCCCACCTGTGACATGGAAAGATCTGGGAAATTAATTGCTCTACACTGGACTTCTTCTGGAGCTCTGCAACCATAACCAGCAGCGATTATTTTCTGGATGGATTCATCTTCACCACCATTAGGGCCTGGTGTGGGCTTTCCCAGACTGATCCAGTTTGACCAACCACATGTCATATCATGTCCCCCAGGGCAAGGTGTGGTTGTCGGTGGCTGAGTTGTTGTTGTAGTTATAGTTGTGGTAGGTGTAGTGGTTGTCGGTGGCTGAGTTGTCGTAGTTACAGTTGTGGTAGGTGTAGTGGTTGTCGGTGGCTGAGTTGTTGTTGTAGTTACAGTTGTGGTAGGCGTAGTGGTTATTGGTGGCTGAGTTGTAGTTTCAGTTGTGGTAGAAGGTGTTGTGGTTGTACTAGTAGTCGTAGGTGGCTGAGTTGTAGTCGGAGTCTCAGGTGTGGTAGAAGGTGTTGTGGAAGTGGTAGTTGAAGGTGTTGGACACCCACAGCATTTGAATTTAATCTCATAATCAAAACACTCTTGCTGAAGTCCTTGTTGTTTGTTGTTGCAAATGAGACCCACATCTTTATTGCAGGTCACATCTTGTCCCACCTGTGACATGGAAAGATCTGGGAAATTAATTGCTCTACACTGGACTTCTTCTGGAGCTCTGCAACCATAACCAGCAGCGATTATTTTCTGGATGGATTCATCTTCACCACCATTAGGGCCTGGTGTGGGCTTTCCCAGACTGATCCAGTTTGACCAACCACATGTCATATCATGTCCCCCAGGGCAAGGTGTGGTTGTCGGTGGCTGAGTTGTTGTTGTAGTTATAGTTGTGGTAGGTGTAGTGGTTGTCGGTGGCTGAGTTGTAGTAGTTATAGTCGTGGTAGGTGTAGTGGTTGTCGGTGGCTGAGTTGTCGTAGTTACAGTTGTGGTAGGTGTAGTGGTTGTCGGTGGCTGAGTTGTAGTAGTTACAGTTGTGGTAGGTGTAGTGGTTGTTGGTGGCTGAGTTGTTGTTGTAGTTACAGTTGTGGTAGGCGTAGTGGTTAGTGGTGTCTGAGTTGTAGTTTCAGTTGGAGTAGAAGGTGTTGTGGTTGTACCAGTAGTCGTAGGTGGCTGAGTTGTAGTCGGAGTCTCAGGTGTGGTAGAAGGTGTTGTGGAAGTGGTAGTTGAAGGTGTTGGACATGCACAGCATTTGAATTTAATCTCATAATCAAAACACTCTTGCTGAAGTCCTTGTTGTTTGTTGTTGCAAATGAGACCCACATCTTTATTGCAGGTCACATCTTGTCCCACCTGTGACATGGAAAGATCTGGGAAATTAATTGCTCTACACTGGACTTCTTCTGGAGCTCTGCAACCATAACCAGCAGCGATTATTTTCTGGATGGATTCATCTTCACCACCATTAGGGCCTGGTGTGGGCTTTCCCAGACTGATCCAGTTTGACCAACCACATGTCATATCATGTCCCCCAGGGCAAGGTGTGGTTGTCGGTGGCTGAGTTGTTGTTGTAGTTATAGTTGTGGTAGGTGTAGTGGTTGTCGGTGGCTGAGTTGTCGTAGTTACAGTTGTGGTAGGTGTAGTGGTTGTCGGTGGCTGAGTTGTAGTAGTTATAGTCGTGGTAGGTGTAGTGGTTGTCGGTGGCTGAGTTGTCGTAGTTACAGTTGTGGTAGGTGTAGTGGTTGTCGGTGGCTGAGTTGTAGTAGTTACAGTTGTGGTAGGTGTAGTGGTTGTTGGTGGCTGAGTTGTTGTTGTAGTTACAGTTGTGGTAGGCGTAGTGGTTAGTGGTGTCTGAGTTGTAGTTTCAGTTGGAGTAGAAGGTGTTGTGGTTGTACCAGTAGTCGTAGGTGGCTGAGTTGTAGTCGGAGTCTCAGGTGTGGTAGAAGGTGTTGTGGAAGTGGTAGTTGAAGGTGTTGGACATGCACAGCATTTGAATTTAATCTCATAATCAAAACACTCTTGCTGAAGTCCTTGTTGTTTGTTGTTGCAAATGAGACCCACATCTTTATTGCAGGTCACATCTTGTCCCACCTGTGACATGGAAAGATCTGGGAAATTAATTGCTCTACACTGGACTTCTTCTGGAGCTCTGCAACCATAACCAGCAGCGATTATTTTCTGGATGGATTCATCTTCACCACCATTAGGGCCTGGTGTGGGCTTTCCCAGACTGATCCAGTTTGACCAACCACATGTCATATCATGTCCCCCAGGGCAAGGTGTGGTTGTCGGTGGCTGAGTTGTTGTTGTAGTTATAGTTGTGGTAGGTGTAGTGGTTGTCGGTGGCTGAGTTGTCGTAGTTACAGTTGTGGTAGGTGTAGTGGTTGTCGGTGGCTGAGTTGTAGTAGTTATAGTCGTGGTAGGTGTAGTGGTTGTCGGTGGCTGAGTTGTCGTAGTTACAGTTGTGGTAGGTGTAGTGGTTGTCGGTGGCTGAGTTGTAGTAGTTACAGTTGTGGTAGGTGTAGTGGTTGTTGGTGGCTGAGTTGTTGTTGTAGTTACAGTTGTGGTAGGCGTAGTGGTTAGTGGTGGCTGAGTTGTAGTTTCAGTTGGAGTAGAAGGTGTTGTGGTTGTACCAGTAGTCGTAGGTGGCTGAGTTGTAGTTGGAGTCTTAGGTGTGGTAGAAGGTGTTGTGGAAGTGGTAGTTGAAGGTGTTGGACATCCACAGCATTTGAATTTAATCTCATAATCAAAACACTCTTGCTGAAGTCCTTGTTGTTTGTTGTTGCAAATGAGACCCACGTCTTTATTGCAGGTCACATCTTGTCCCACCTGTGACATGGAAAGATCTGGGAAATTAATTGCTCTACACTGGACTTCTTCTGGAGCTCTGCAACCATAACCAGCAGCGATTATTTTCTGGATGGATTCATCTTCACCACCATTAGGGCCTGGTGTGGGCTTTCCCAGACTGATCCAGTTTGACCAACCACATGTCATATCATGTCCCCCAGGGCAAGGTGTGGTTGTCGGTGGCTGAGTTGTTGTTGTAGTTATAGTTGTGGTAGGTGTAGTGGTTGTCGGTGGCTGAGTTGTCGTAGTTACAGTTGTGGTAGGTGTAGTGGTTGTCTGTGGCTGAGTTGTAGTTGTTATAGTCGTGGTAGGTGTAGTGGTTGTCGGTGGCTGAGTTGTCGTAGTTACAGTTGTGGTAGGTGTAGTGGTTGTCGATGGCTGAGTTGTAGTAGTTACAGTTGTGGTAGGTGTAGTGGTTGTTGGTGGCTGAGTTGTTGTTGTAGTTACAGTTGTGGTAGGCGTAGTGGTTAGTGGTGGCTGAGTTGTAGTTTCAGTTGTGGTAGAAGGTGTTGTGGTTGTACCAGTAGTCGTAGGTGGCTGAGTTGTAGTTGGAGTCTCAGGTGTGGTAGAAGGTGTTGTGGAAGTGGTAGTTGAAGGTGTTGGACACCCACAGCATTTGAATTTAATCTCATAATCAAAACACTCTTGCTGAAGTCCTTGTTGTTTGTTGTTGCAAATGAGACCCACATCTTTATTGCAGGTAACATCTTGTCCCACCTGTGACATGGAAAGATCTGGGAAATTAATTGCTCTACACTGGACTTCTTCTGGAGCTCTGCAACCATAACCAGCAGCGATTATTTTCTGGATGGATTCATCTTCACCACCATTAGGGCCTGGTGTGGGCTTTCCCAGACTGATCCAGTTTGACCAGCCACATGTCATATCATGTCCTCCAGGGCAAGGTGTGGTTGTCGGTGGCTGAGTTGTTGTTGTAGTTATAGTTGTGGTAGGTGTAGTGGTTGTCGGTGGCTGAGTTGTAGTAGTTACAGTTGTGGTAGGTGTAGTGGTTGTTGGTGGCTTAGTTGTCATAGTTACAGTTGTGGTAGGTGTAGTGGTTGTCGGTGGCTGAGTTGTAGTAGTTACAGTTGTGGTAGGTGTAGTGGTTGTTGGTGGCTGAGTTGTAGTTTCAGTTGTGGTAGAAGGTGTTGTGGTAGGTGTAGTGGTTGTAGGTGGCTCAGTTGTCGTTTCGGTCGTGGTAGAGGGTGTAGTGGTTGTAGTCTGAGGAGGTGTAGTTGGTTTGGTTGTGAAAGTAATTGTTGTATGTTTTGGTGTTGTGCTGCATTGAACCTTTTTGCAACACTTTACCTTTATTTCATAATCTAAACATATTGGGGGATACTGTAAACTGTTCTTACACACAAGTCCTTGGTTATTACATGTTACCTCTTGTCCCAAGTTCTTTAGAGGAACACCTGGATAGTGCAGACCCTGACACTCCACTGCCACTGGATTCTCACAAATTTTATATCCTTTCTGGATGACGTGTGTGATGGTTTCATTGTCCCCACCTCCAGGACCATACTCAGGGTAGTCTGAACTTATCCACTTCGACCAGGAGCATACTGTTTCTTCACAGGGTGTTAGAGTAACATGTTGTGTTGTTGGGGTTATTTGGGGTTTTGTGGTTGAGCTCGGAGGTCTTGTAGGTGTAGGAGTAGGCTTTGTGGGGCATGCACTATAGTCACAACAAAGAACTCTAACTTGATAGTTAAAGCACAAGGCCAGTGGTCCTGATTGGTCTTCATTTCTGCATGTTAGCCCTTTAGCCAGATTGCACTGCACCACTTGTCCCACACTGTCAATGGTGACATTAGGGAATTTCTCAGCTCTGCATTGGATGTCGCTTGGCTTGTCACATATCTTGTACCCCTCTTCTCTAATCTTTTCGTAAGTTTCACTGTCCCCTCCTGGAGTTCCCAGTGTGGGGAAGCTGGTATCATACCATGGGGACCATTCACAAGGATTACATGTGACTGGCTCTGTGGACACACATATTATAGGTGTTGGTTAGGAGGTCATTTTTACATTATACACCTTCAAGTTTCCAAAAGGAATACCTTCCCCTACCTGATGTCGTTAATGTAAAAACAAAGGTTGTTGGAGGCTGGCTTGGTGTAGCAGTAGATGGCATATGTGTTGTCGTTATTTGGCATGGGTATGACGTCCGGTCAATGGTACCATTCTTTCCACACACTGCTGTGATGCAGTTACCATGTCCATCTGTTGTGTTATAGATGACATTGCCAGGGGGATATTTGTTTCCATGATAGGTGCAAGTACAAGCTATAAAAAGAGGAAATGTATTATTAACTTATTAACCTTAAAATACGTATGCATTTTTACAACCCACAATCTATATCTTTGCATACCTTGGGCATCGTAATGGCATTGGATGGTCATAGAACTGCATGTACTTCAAGAGAGATAACATGAAATATATTGTCAGTTTTGTTTTCAATTAATTTGAACTTGCCCCATAATCTTGATGTGGCACATTTAATATATGCAAGGCTTACCATGTTTGACAGTTTTCGGTTGTTGGAACATTGTCACCATTTTTATAGTGTCTCCCCTCTTTAGTGAAGCAGCCACATTGTTCTTTTAAAACACATGTCATTGTGTCCTCATCAAAGTATGGCTGAGCAGGAGGACATTTTGGATAGCAACCTAATTGAAAAACAAACAGAAGGTTTTACAGTGTAGCTTCTTTAATAGTTGTTGGCCATTGTTCAAATTCTAAAAACGTATCTTGTACCTTCTAGAGGAGGTATCTGCGTAGAGCAACTGCCTGAGGGGTTCCTGCAGGTTTTCATACAAGGAGATCCACATGGCTTATAGTGCCATTCACATTCACCAGGGGGGTTGTAGTAATCACAGAAGAGAGCTGGAAAATAAATACTTATTTAGAGAAGATGATTATGTTCCAGTTTGGAGTATTCAGAGAGCATACTAATGATTTTAGACATGTAATTATACATAGCCTTAATTTTACCTTTATACTAATCAGACATAGTACCAGAGCATTGCAATACTGAATGATGAAATGAAAATGACCTCAGAAAAAAGTCACTGTGATCTCTGAAAGATTAGTCCGACACCTCCCAGTATATGGTAATGAAATGCAGAAATGGCACAACCATTGTAGTTCTCAGAACTTTGATACAACAAAAAGGAAAGCGTATGAACTGTTTTTCAACAAGGAATGTTTCATCCTGGTTACTCACGGCAGATCTTGGGAGTTCTCCACTGTATGCAGATTCTGGCTTGATTACAGGCTTCAGCATAAGCAGCCACAGCAGTGCAGAAACACTCGCAGTCTCCACCAGTGTCACAAGCACATGAGTCAAACACACATGCGTCATAGTATGGAGTAGGGTCCACCTACAGACACGTTAATCATGATACATTAATGGGTTAAACAGGTGTGGAAGAGCAACTCCACAACACGAAATGCTGTATGGACGGGAGGCACAACATCAATTCTACTTCTAGTTTACTACAACTAAGAGGCAAGTACTGCACTTACTGACAGCTACAGTTACTCTTCAGATTTCAGGACAGATCATCAAAGTTTATGAAATAAGATGCCTTTTCACAGATTAAACTGCCCACAGTATATAAATATAAAAATAATAGTTTAAACACCTCACCAACATTAAAATGCTGCATAAATGTTAATGCAATGGCAATAATGACCAAATGATACACTGTAATATATCACAATTTAACACAAAGGGTCCATTCCGCTGCTTAATGAGTACTTTTGGAGGGGAAACTTGACTTGACAGTGGTGCTGAATGAAAAGTTAGTGATTACTAATATAATTAGGAGTCATTCTCTGAGGACCAGGCATATCCACATTCAATTTCCCAATGTCTATCCAGTAGTTGACATATCTTATTCTGGATCTGTGTGGAGGGACAGGCAGAGCAACTAAAACATCCCCATCATCAGACACTGATGGTTGTAGATTAAAAACAGAAGAAATACTACAACAAACTTGACCTACAGTGGAGTGGCAGGCAGCGAAGACGTCACTCTGTATAATGCTGCACCGTTTCTGGGCCCATGACTGTCTGTATGGGTTGGCTGTGCAGGGGCTGGTCATGGCCTGAGCATCAGGGCAGCTTGGCAAATCCTTCCAGCTGTTCCCAAACACCAGTGGGTTGACCACCACTGCATGGGACCTTGTAGTGAAGTCATTATTTGCATTGCCATCATAGTTACCACACAGCCCACACACACGTCCCTGAAAAAGCAGAGCTCAAATTAGATATCGAAACAAACCTTGCCTTTTAATTGTTGTAATCAGTTATTGTGACATTAAAAACAAAACCTTCATTTCATGGTTACCTTATATTTTGGGCTGAGCTTAATGAACAAGCTGGTCTTTCTGTCCCACATGAGAATGAGTCCATTATTGGCTTCAACTACCAGGTAGATGCCCATAGTGCGGTAAAGGAATGGAACTGTTTCTTCATTTCCACTTGAAAGCAGCTGGTAGCTTCCCTCTGTTAGTATTAGTTCTGCACTCTAAACAAAAGGACAGAAATTGATTTCAATTTCACCTACATATACAATTTCACTTGTTACTGGAAATCACAGACCTCAGCTGTGATGAGTACCTCTCTTTCTGTTGTATTCCATCAACACCACCCTCAAAAATAAAGTACCTCAATTGGACCAAAAATGTGCCTGCCCTAATTCAGAACAAAGCTAAACCTAATTCTTTGGCGTTTTTTATCCATTGGGTTATCTTGCTGCGTGTTTGAGAAAAAGTTATGCTTTGTTTCCCACCCATATTGCACCTGCCCTTACTCTGCCTCTGACTGGCTCTGACCCAGTTTTCATCTAACCAACCAAACTAATGAACGTAATGAACATTAGACAATCAGAGGCAGAGTTGTGTAAGTATTTGCAGAATGCTAGTGGGAAAGAAAAATTAAGTGTTATGCAGGTGCATACCTAGTTTAACAAGGAGGTGGCGGCATAAGAAGTAAGGGTACTCAAGTGGACAAAAATCTGAACCGGTGAGTAGTGGCCCATTTCTGGCATTGGCATTTCTTGTCAGATTTTTGTATAATCTGCCAAGTTACTGTAAAGCAGGTTAGGATCAGAGGCTAAATGTCTAAAAGTTTGTATCAGCAGTTTACACTGTGTCAGACAATGCAGTTGTTTTTAAAAAAAGGTTATGTATTGACTGTTTACCCCCAGGAAGATCTTGATGGTTTTGGAGCAGGTGGTTCCTGTGGTTCCACATGGAACATTTTCAGTGATCACTCTGAAGGTTCCATTACTCTGAGCACTGCCACAGTAGTCCTGAGGGAGGATACACACACACAAGCAAATAATCAATATTAGTGGCTCTGCTTGCGTCATACAAAAACAGAACAGGGTTAGAGGTAGTGAACTAGGGTCCCCCAGTGATATCGTCTGGGATGGCTCATTCCTGAAAGTGTCACAAAGCATGTTGAGTGCTCAGTCCAAAGACAAGAAAATCAGTTCCATCACTCTGTTCAGCAGTTATTTTTGTGGCCTTCATACCTGAGTAAGAATATATTCACAGCTGCCATCGAAAGTGAAGCGCTTCTCGTCAAAAGTCATGTAGTGTCCGGCACCATAGACAGAGCAGGTTCCATCACACTGGTTGGTAGTGCACTGCCACTTCCTGTCTTTACAAGTGCTATAAATGATCACAGATTAGATGGTAATGAGCTCATAATAAAACACATGCCGTTGTTTGTACATTTGTCAGTCACACATTGAGGTGCAACCAAATTAGTACACCTTCTTTACAGCAGCCATTTTGACATGAAATAGTAGGGTAAACACAGTGTTACGAATTAGGGATGAACAGCAGCACCCATTCACCTACCAGGTGTTGCAGTCCACCTTGGTGGTCTCTCCAGGCTGGTAGGAGATGCCGTTGTGAACACAGGAACAGGCCTCTGGCTTGATGCAGCCTCCTTTACCATCAGATACCATCCCAGATAGACACACACAGCCAGAGACACACCCTGTGGTCATCTGGAGAATAGAACAAATTTTACAGTCACATTAATGTCTGTTCCAGCAGATAAAATGCTGTAACTTTATCTCAGATTATCCAAACATTTGTGCTAGTTATATAACCAATAATCTGTATTTGCATGGAAATGTTCCTTTGGGATTAGGAAAAGGTAACTCACACAGGCCATGTCTAATGTGTTGCAGCTCTTCTCGCACTCAGTTCCTTTTGCAGCTGGACCATTAGCAGAGCAGTTGAAGTAAACCATGGGAGGAGCACAGGCTGCTGAGAAAAGATATGTCTGAAGTGACTTTACTGTACTGAATCTTGTCTTTGTATTCTTTATATTAAGACTTTCTCAGTCTGAGAATTACACTAATATATATGATTTGAAGAACAAACTTTTAATTAGTAGTTTAATTTAATCTTTAATCATGTCCCAACTTCAGCTCAACCTCCATACATTAGATTGGTATCCATCTAAATATGTCACTTTCCTTTCAAAAAACAAACACAGGAACTCAGACAAATTCTAGATAGTATTTTCAGATATAAAATTAATAAAATATAATGCAGCCAACTATTTTAGCTATGCAGGCACTCACTTTAAGACTGCTTCTATCAGGTGATTCTGTATTGTAACTTACATGGCTGCACAATAAACTCTCCAATGCAGCTGAGTTTGCCCTCCTTGCAGGTGCTAGTGGAGAAATACAAGAAACACATTAATATACATATTAAACTTTGCAGCACTCTGTTAACAAAACATAAAAATGATATTTGTATATCACAAATAAGTCAAAGCAGAAATACCAACTTCTAAAGTAATTCAAATATAAGCAAAAAGAGTACACGTTTTAGTGCTCAAAAACATTACGGATTGGGGCTTTAACACTGAGATATGGTGTATACTCAGTGAAACCTCACAAATCACATACATTTCACTTGGAATAACACAATAAAAAACATATGCAATATATATAATTTTCATACCACATGACTCCCTCCTTATTTACGACCTGTCCGGGCGGCACCACTGAGCCTTCGTCGTAGCAGGGACAGGCCTTAGATGGGACACACTTCCCAGACTCATCCAGATAGGTTCCCTCTGCGCAGATACAGCCGTCGATGGGCGGGAAGGAGAAGTGGCAGCTGAGGTCCGTGGAGCCGATGCAGCGGCAGGTGCGACTGCTGGATGTGATGTTGTAGGAGTAGACCATGTTGCTGGGGCAGGAGCTGGCATATTTCCCTGAGGAGGTCAGACCACAGAATCAGTGATAAGCTGTAAGACTGGTCCACTGCAAGCATGCTACATGAAGATTTTAAATCACCACACTAATGTTTAGCTACAATATTACTGAATAATTTTGTTTGTGGTTGTTTGCTGTAGGACTTGCTCTTCATCCACTTGATTACTGGTTCAACTCCTGCTTGGTATAGAGATGTTGATCATATATGTTTTGACATTTGACAGCAGTGGATAGATAGATATATACATGTAATGTGTAATTTTTCAGGATTAAATGGTCATTATGTTAGGGGCTCTTTAGGGGCACATCTGATTATCAATGACCATTGTATTAGCTGATTAGTTCATTGCAGATTTTTCCTTAATTTTGCGGTCGATGCACTTGGATTTGAGATGTATGTTTAATAATAGCAGTAAAGTAAATAGCCATATATAGACAATATGGAAGGCTTTTTTTTTGGTGTCCCTCAAAGTCATGGAAGACAAGATTGGTTTTTTGACAAGCTAGTACTGTTTTCTGAGTCACTTAGAACTCTTCTGTTTCACAGCTATTCTCCACTCACCACATATGGTCTTCCTCCAGCCGTTGAGCTGGATTCCTGCAGCTGCACAGGCATGGGCATACGAGGAGACAGCCGCACACATGCAGTCCTCACTCTTCTCACAGTTACAGCTGTCATACATGCAGTTCTGCGGGGAGACAAAATATAGATAAAAACATCAGTGTGAGGTCTGGAGACTGGTCCAGGTACAGCTCACAGAGATATGTAAAAGCTGTGATACTCACCTCTTTGTAAGAGTCAGGGCTGATCTCTGAGTGACAGAGGGCAAACACTCCCTGAGGGTCGGTCAGCATGGAGCACCAGTGGCGGGCGTATTTCTCTGTCAGTGACACACAACAACCAACATCAGTCACTCTGAAGAACCCACAGTGATAACAGAGAATCTAAATGACTCAGACTTACCATTATCCAGACTAAGACTGCAGGGGTTCTCAAAGTTGCTCTTTACATTGGGGCAACGAGCATGTGTCTTCCAGCTGTTGACAAAACCTGCTGCCGTGGCATCTGGAACGCCACTGAGCTTAAGGAAGTCATCAGCTTGGTTACTGTTGAAGTTCCCGCACAGACCTGCAGGCAGACACCATCATGTTAACACCTAGGCCTTTATTTTAGAGAGATTAAATGGGACTGACTCTGTCTTTCGCCACAGGGTAGAAGAGTGGGCACAACACAGATCATTTTTATAACGTTGAAGGCATTTCTTTCACACTAAAACAGACTAATAAAAAACTGATTTGATGGTTTTACAATTGTAATTAAAATCCAAGTAAGAAGAACTTTTATAATAATTTCAGCAGGGATTCCCAACCATAGGTAGTTAGCAAGTAGTTACCAAGCAAGCATAAGGGGGTGAAATAGTTAACTAAAGGTAATGGATAAACTGTTGAAACGTTCATTTTTTTGCCACGTGATGTGGTTGTAGTATGAATGCAAATGTTCTCATTAATAAAATATTTTTGTAGTAGTTAGTAAGTTTGCAGGCTTTACCATTTTTTTTACTTGACCATACCATCCATTACATGAAAATACTGTAACACATTATATATGTATGTGGAGGTGGGTGTGGTTTGTGCTCAGCTGCAGGAGAGAGAGGTGTGGGGAAGGCTTGGGAGAGTGGCACCAGGTGAGGTGATTACCTCACCTGCTGATCATTACCTAATCACACTACCTTTATCTTTGCAGTAGTGTGCTGGACCTGGGAGAGAGATGCTACCGGCAGTGCCACTGAGTAGCGACAGAGACCAAGTAGTTTATAGTTTGGTATTGGTAACTGGGAGACTACAATAAAATGTTTTTTCTTTTTTTTGGGTGGGTGTTTTTGGGGAGAAAAACAACTATAAAAAAATTTTTTATAAAAAAAATTTTTTTTTTTTTTTTTTTTATTTGTTTTAAAAAAAAATTTGAAAAAGAAAAAGGTATTTTTTTAAGGGGGACTTAAGATTATCTTAAAATCAAAAACAGGTGTGTTAAAAAAAAAAATTATAAATTTTTTTCCTCCCTAAAAATTTAAAAAAAAACCCCTTTTTTTTTTTTTTTTTCTTTTTCCCTTTGAAAAAACACATCTGGCTTCATGGAGCAGCAAGAACTACTACATCAAGATATTAAAGTAACCAGCACTACATTTATGGATTGCCTGTATTTGTCACAATCCTTTATAGCTCATGGTTGTTGTATATTGTATCAATAATAGAAATAGCTAAATCAAAATGAGCCAATTTCAAATTTTTCAGTCTCAGCATTTCTACCTGTGTTTCTACAGTGTATGTTTACAAAATCCCTATTTTCTCTATTTCTACGCACATATTCATTGTTTGCAACAACCAACAGGGATGAATAAAACCATCATCACTATTTGAGTGCTGTAGGTTGGCAGGAAGAGCACATACAGATCATTTCAGTGTACATACCACAGGTCTGGGCCTTGTACTCCGTGGTCACTGTGACGTAGAGCTGCATGACTGGCTGGAGCTGCACTTCCAACAGAACGCCGACAGATGTCTGGACCAGCACGTAGAAAGAGGATGCTCTGATGGCGGAGATCCCAACTATGGGTAAAGAGAGGGAGTTATTAAAAGTATGGATGGGAGGAGACTGAATGAAATACTATTTGTCTGCTTATCTGGCTAGTCAGGAAAACTGGAATCTATAGTTTTTGCATGCTGGCAGTCTATCCAGGCCAAAGACAAATAAAAATGACTCTGAATCAGCAGTAAAGTGGCTGAAAATACTAAAATATCAGTGCCACTTGTTTTTTAAGTCATTGAATGTTTAATGTAGTATTTTTTATTAACTTTATTACACATTTTTTGTATTTTTTTCCAAATATATGCAGCCGTCCTTGTCACTGAACTCTACTGTTGAGCTGCAGAGGTGAGATGGTGACCTCACATGGACACCCGATGTTGCCAGCTGGAAGAACATACAATAACACTACACCCGGCTGACCACTAGATGTTGCTGGTGACCCGCTCACGCCTATAGGCAATTTATGTTCACTGGAATTCATGATCAAGGCTGAAGCTGAACCACTTTAGAAATGAACAAAATGTCTAATGTCAGGGGCGGCTGTCGCTCAGAGGCAGAGCGGGTTGTTCCTAAATCGGAAGGTTGTGGGTTCAATCCCCAGCCCCTGGTGCCACATGTCGAAGTATCCTTGAGCAAGATACTGAACCCCAAATTGCTCCCGATGCCGTGCCTCGCTGTGTGAATGTATATGAATGTTAGTTTCTGTTCGATGGACTTTGTCATCACTGTGTGAATGTGTGTGAAAGGGTGAATGTCTCACGTAGTGTAAAAGCGCTTTGAGTGGTCGGAAGACTAGAAAAGCCTCATTCAAGTACAGGTCCATTTACCATTTACCATCTATATTCATAGATTCTTTATACATGTCACGATGGAATCTTTAAGCCTGTCAGCAACTAAAATTAAGTGTTTATCCACTCTTCAGTCTTTCCGCTGAACAGTTTATATTATGTACATTATATAGAAGACTGTACTGTACTTAGAATGTGGCCCTATAGTGTATCTTTTTCTACATGTCAGATAGAGAGAAAGTCACAGGTGAACACTGTAAAGAGGAGTCTCTCACCAGCAGAAAAGGGTAACTGAGCGTAGATGCCATTGACAAAAACCTTGCCATTGGGCTGGATGGTGATGACCTTTATATGGAAGGAGAAAAGATGTTATTACTGAAATGTTTACATCCTGGGTGTGTTTTCAGTTATGGTGTAATGATTAAAAAAAATCCTGCTTGCATTGCATTACCATGCAATGATGCATGCAACTTTGATAAAACATATAAGTGGATATAATATTCACTGTGATGGACCCAACCTGCAAGACTATTTTCACTGCATACTTGAATACATATAAACTAATGCCAAAACATACTGAACAATCTATTGTATGCTTTGGAAAATAATTGGCACCGAAAGCAAAACAAAACTACTGGTACAATCGTAATTCCTCAAATTCCTCATCATTTACTTCCAACAGGAAAACAAAAAATGCTGAAAAGATTTGGAATAAAAATATTTCATAATGTATTTGGATTCAGGATCATCCATAAAACACAATATAAACTATCTTTGAGGATTATATATTGAAAATAATTCAGCTATAATTTAGATTTCTTGCAGGTAAATGCTCAAATAAACACTGTTGTGCTTGTGTGTGTGAGTCTGTGTATGTATCATACTCACATTAGCCCCTCCAGACAGACCCAAGGTAATGGACTTGAGGCAGGTTTCACTGTCAGTCAGTCCACACTGCACCAGTTCTCCCTGTACCACAAACTGGCTTCCACTGCAGTCCTAAACACACAAACACAAAACTATTCAACTACTGCTGAACTCAGACAGCGTACCTGCACACAGCAGAATGTATAATAGCAGTAGAATAAGTGCCAGTGGATGCATCATTTGTATCAGCAGCACTAATACTTGAAGTAGAGGTTGTTACTTAGGTAGAGTTAGTAATAGAGTGTTAAATTCTACTTATACCAGTAGAATAACAATAAAAGAAAGGATAATGATAAAAGGTAAGTAAAATGTAAAAAGTAAAAAGTAGAATTGGCAATAATATTGAAAAGTAACATTTTAACATTGCACATGGTATTAATAATACACAATATTGAAAAGTAATATTACACGTGATGTTAATATTATTGTTCTCAGTGCCTGATGTTTTCGCTGTCCTCCCTGCAGAAGGGGGAAGAGTCATAGTTTGATGGCTACTGGGTAATCACAGTCTTCTACCAATAACAGCTATAACAGGTTTGAGGTTGAGGTCTTTTGTGTTATGCATGTCCCATTACCACAGCAGAGGTGTGTGTGAGTGTGATCTGATGATGATGATGTGTGCTACCTTAGCCAGAACGTAGGAGCAGTCCCCGTGGAAGGTGTAGACTTTTCCATCAAAGGTGTTGACGTGAGCTCCTCCCTCCACAGAGCAGGTCCCTGGACAGTTCTCCTCCGTACACATCCACTGGCCACTCTCACACACACTGTCAGCACACATAATTGAATATTAATTACCAGAGAATAGAATCTCCAAAACAGTTTTATTTACAAGCTAGGATAAACTAGGCTGAACATATTCTGGGACCTACTGTATCTCTGTACTGGACACACCTTGACAAATGAAATTTTCTGACACATTTTGCATCAATCATACCATTTTTTGCAGTGACTGGAGTAGGACTCCCCAGGCCCATAGATCTTGCTGTTGTAGCTGCAGGAGCACTTGCTCAGTGGGACACAACCTTTTCCATTTAGATCATCCAGCACCGTGCCTGAAAGTGATCCAAGTATTACTGTATTGAAAGCCATATAGTGTGCGTTTGTGTGTGTGTGTGTGTGTGTGCGTGTCACTCTGCTGTACCTGCAGGGCAGAAGCATCCATCGATGCAGTGATTGTCACAGGTGTGGCTGGCCTCTGGGTTGGAGCAGGTGTCAGCACAGGGACTCCCACACTCTTTGTACTCCATCTTGTAGGGACACGACTTCCCTGTGAATACACCAGTTGTTTTTTACCACGTGACTTACACAACCTCTCTGATACCATTCACTCAAACAAACTTTACTACTGCATCCTGGTTCCTATTTTCAACTATAGTGTGTCTTTTTGTTGTTTTTTTGCGTCTTTTTGTTTTGAGTCAGTGGACGAAAGCAGACAACCCCTCCCACCTGTGGAATATATAAGTAGCAGTGTCTGACGAGTGTACTCACAGCAGAGTTCTTTGGTTCGCCAGTTGTGGGGCTTGCCACCAGCATGGACACACTGTCTAGAGAACTCAGACACCGTGCTGCACAGGCAGAAGACTTCTGACTGTTCCTCGACGCCATTGCCACAGTGGCAGAGGTCTGCAACACAGGCAGAGGTGAAGGAGGCGACGTCCAGCAGATTGTGACAGCTGTTGAAAGCTGGCCCTGTCAGGATCTGCTCACACAGAGGTTTCTACAGGACAGACAGACGGGAATGGAAACAGAGGCTTGAAGCTGAGCAGGTGCAACATAACATAAGTGTAGCAAAGGCCACACATATCTAGAGATAATCCCTTGTGGAGTTACTGTAACTACTCATGGTATAATAGTGATACAGTGTTGTGAAGAATGATTTTTTATTTTTATTAGGGACCGAGCCAGCGACCGCTGGAGGTCCCTATTGTTTTTGCTCGATTTCTTCTTACCTATTATTTTTAGCCCCCTTTGACTGCATTTTTGCCCCCCTGAACATATACGAAAACTCAATTTATTTAGTTGTCAGGCCTGGTGAAAATGGGGATATTCTATGCGTCGCTTTCAGGTTGGCTACTAGGTGGCGCTACTATCATAAAAAATGCATTTAGGCTAATAACTTCTGCATAGTTTGTCGCACATTCAAAAACCTTGTATCCACGCGTTCGGTGAATGGAGCTAAATCTCCCCATGTAAGCCCCGCCCACTTCCACCTAAAACATTTTTTTCTAGAGCACGTGTCCATGTAGGAAACTCGGTAGGCACGTGTAACATGCCAGGATGTACAAAAAAAGCCCATTGGACCCATACCCGAAACCCCACAGGAAGTCGGCCATTTAGATTTTAATTTTCACTTGCGGCGAACTTTTCACCTTGTATTTGAACGTACTCCTCCTAGGGTATTTATCGGATATGCTTCAAAATTTGTGAGTACAGTCAAAAAATGGTGCTGATTGAAAGTTGTGCTATTTGTGCTTGTACGTTGAAGGGCGTGTCCTTGGCGTGCCCTCAAAGTTGGCCATTTTGAATTCTGTGCGCATTTTTGGTGAATTTTTCACCTTGTATTTGAATGAACTCCTCCTAGGGAATTTATCGGATCTACTTCAAAATTGGTCAATACAGTCAAAAAGTGGTACTGATTAAAAGTTGCGCTATTTGTGCATGTACATTAAAGGGCGTGTCCGTGGCGTGGCATCAAAGTCAGCCATTTAGATTTTTTTTGGGTCATTTTCTGTTATTTTTCGTGTTGTATTTGAACGAACTCCTCCTAGGGAATTTATCGGATCTACTTCAAAATTGGTCAGTACAGTCAAAAAACTGTGCTGATTAAAAGTTGTGCTATTTGAGACTGTACGTTGAACGGCGTGTCTGTGGCGTGAGGTCAAAGTTGGCCACTTCCATTCTGTGGTCATACAAACTGATTGAAAAGTTGAGCTATTTGTGACTGTACATCAAACCGCATGCCAGTGACAACTTGTCGATTTCAGCAGATTCGCCATAAAATAGTATTCATAACTTCAGTGTGCAATGTCCAATCTCCAATAAACTTCATATATTCTGAAACAGTTTTGCCCTGAACACGTCCTCATAACTTCAGCGTACGTGGTCCAATCTCAATGAAACTTCATGTGTTTGATAACACTTTCGCCTTGAACATGTCTACATGACAACATTCAGACATAGTGATAGTGCCACCTACTGGCAACAGGAAGTAAGCGCTGCGTGGCAATTTTGAGCTGATTTACGTGAAATTTCATGTTTTGGTCCGCACGTGTAACGATGGCACATAGTTGCTTGGAGTGCGAGGTCCCGCCCAACGCTGCTTGCAGCTTTAATTTAATTTCTTTAATTTTTTAGTGTCAGTGGGTGAAGCCTCACCATGTTGTTGCAGTTTTGTGTTGACTCCAGTGTGTAGTCCGAGCAGCTTTCAGTTGGACCATCCATCTTCCAGAAGTTAGCGTAATCCATGGGGGATATTTTCACACCTGTTTGGATAATATCAAAGAAACACAGCTCAGTTCTGCACCCTGCCTACACTGACTGACTTGTTAAAGTGGGTCAAAGTTTACCGTGACTGTAGAACTCGTTGTAGAGCTGGACCCCATTAAAGTCTCCACAAAGACCACAGGTTTGGTTCTTGTATTTCGAGTCTAGCTCCACCTGTGAGAACAAAACCATCAACCAATGAAATATATACAGTATGCTTTAAATCATATTTGGTGGTCCTACTCCCTATTGCACTTAATACATTACGCAACATGGATATATCATTTGTTTAGTGTGCAGCCTGATCCTGTGTGACCAAGCTTGGCCCTGTGTGATCCAATGTTATATTTAAATTAAATCCTAAATCCAATTGACAGTATTTTATTATAATGATATTTTCATTGGTGAAAAACACAGGCAGAGCACAATTGATCTTCACCCTTTTTCTAACTTTCCTTTCCTGTACTTAGATATGCTATGTGCCGACACATACATATATATAGTCACATTTTATTAGAACCAAAATTAGCTAGTTAACAATGTAGATTAGTTAGCAAGTTAGGTAGCATTTTGATTACATTAGCTAAAATTAGCTAGGCAAAGGTTTGATTATACTGCATCTACATATCACTTTTGTTTTTTAACCATTTTCAAAATGTGGTCATCTTTTCAACATTGCATAGTTGAGTTCAAGAAGCAATCCCCCCGGATAGTTTAGTCATGACCTGCCCTACGCGGCTGTGGCGCAGAGGCAGAGCGGGTTGTCCCCTAATCGGAAGGTTGTGGGTTTGATCCTTGGCTCCTGGTGCCACATGTCAAAGTATCCTTGCGCAAGATACTGAACCCTGAATTGCTCCCGATGCTGTGCATTCATGTGTGAATGTGTATGAATGCGTTAGTTTCTGTTCTATGGGCTTTTCCATCTCTGAGTGAATGTGTGTGAAAGGGCAAATGTGTAAAAGTGCTTTGAGTGGTCGGAAGACTAGAAAGGCGCTATACAAGTACAGGTCCATTTACCATTTACTAGGGTTTGAGCCAAGTCCTCAGCTGAAATGAGTAACCAGTACGGATAATGTACTTCTTACGAGTAAAATATGTCAATCCTCATTGGGTAGCCCTACTGCCAGTTATTAGTTGTGTCTGACCAGTGTGTCAATGCCATTCCATGATTGGCCAGTTAAACACATTGCTCCGCCCCCTCGCCTACACACACTGCTGTCAGCTGTGGTGAGACAGCTCCGGACTATACACAGTCTTTATCTGTCTCTCTCTCTCATATGTGTATATGTATAAATGTATGTATGGTCCACAATTAGCAGAGGATTCAAAATATTACAATACAACATCCCTAGTTCTCTTACTCTTGTGAAACATTAACCTGAAGCTCAATTCTGAAGCTGTTCTGTAGTTTTTATAATAACCAACATATATATAGTAGCTTACTGTTATAAAACTAACTATAAAACATTGCTTCAAAATCACTAAAGCTTAACTCTGAGGCTGTCCTGGAAGTAATGTGATAGAAAATTTCAAATAAATTTCAAACTTCTGATCAATAAATATCTATTTCAGGCTTAAATGACTATAATTCTTTTAGGTTTCCTGTATCCATATCTGTATCTGTATCCAGATACAGATAATTCAGTTGGTTAAACAGATACACATAGAGATAATGGTGTACTCACTCATCCCTATGCCCTACTCTGCCTCTGACTGGTTACCCTGACATTCTAACCCTTACCCTAACCATACTCACTCCTCATGCCTAACCTACTAACCAAACCAATTAAGGCAACAAGTACTAGCCAACCGGAGGCTAACCCAGGTTCTAAAAGGGGCAGGATGTAGGAAGGGTCAATTGCTCCGCATTTAACAATCTTAACAATACTGATATGTATTTTTAAACAATAAATCATCAAATCAAGTCATAGCAGACTTTTCTGTGCAGCCATAACCCTACCAGAAAAGAGTCCTCCTCGTTCCAGATGGCAACCAACCCCAGCTTTGCTTTGATTTTGATGTAGGTGGGAGTTTTCTCGATGAGCATGCCTGCTTGACTGAGTGGTAGGACAGCCCTGCAGGAAGAAAAAATAAGTCATGTTATTGTGGCCATTATGATTTTTCGAACTGTTGTTCCTGGAGCCAAAGGGAGATTGTGAATGGAGCTGTCAGTTGTGTTTAACCATGTGCAAAGGCATGAAATCAAAGAGTGGCAGTAGATAACAATATTTTGTTTGGGTAATTTACTTCTGTGTCTGATATCAGCATTGTTAGTACCTGATATCTAGGTACTAACAATGCTGTTCTAATATATATGTATATATATATATACATATATATATCTGCATATTTTTAAGACCAATAGCATAAAACAAAGCATGGGACAAAGTTTTCTTTTCCAACATGAATTTACTTAACTAACTACTGCACTCAACAGTGTTTACAAAAACTATAAAAGGTATAAGGTAACATGATAAAGTTACCATGGTAGCTATGTTCCTGTTCATGTCAATCAAGTCATTACTGAAATCAGTTGGTTTGATAAGGGAATTAGATAAATGACCCACATGTATCATCCAGTCTGAGGCAATAACTCATGCAGGCAGAGTGGGAAGGGTTTGGGTTAATAGCAGTGGTGGAATGTAACTATGAATATTTGCACTACTGTACTGTACTACTATAGTATTTACATTTTATGCAACTTTATATTTGTACTTCACTACCTCTTAGAGGCAAATATTCTGCTTTTTACTCCACTACATTTGCTTGATAGCTTTAATACAGATCATCATTTTTCACACCCTTAAACATCTGCAGCAGTAAAATCTAACATACACATGAATGCAATATTAATCTGCTTTTGATACCTAAGTACTTTTTGCTGATAATTCTTACATTATTTTACTTTAGTAAAGGTTTGAATTCAGGTCTTTACTTGGAGTATTTTCACAATGTGGTACACATATGAAGGATCTGAATACTTCTTCCAGCACCGGGTTTTAGAGTAAACTTACGATTTGCCATCAATGACCACCGAGCCCTTGGTGAGCTCCACCACTGAACCCTCCAGCTTCATAATGATGTTTTTGATGGTTGGACGGCCGCCAGCATCCTGTCTTCTTATCTGGATGTTGAAGTCCTTGTAACTGCCCCGGCAGGCCGAGGTCAGAACATAGTTGCAGGTGGAGTGCAACTGGAAAACATCCCCATCAAAGGTCTTGAAGTGGAAGTTGCCCCATGTACTGCAAACCTGGCCATTGTGGATGGGACTCACACCTGCAAAGACAAATAAGTACGTGATACCCCGACAGCAGCCTTAATTTACACAGGTCTTTACATACATGAATACATGCTCACACACTGCCTACATAAGGGAACAGACAGTTTACAGCCAACCAACAAGCTCACCTGTTATTTTTTCAGGAATCTGGGACATGGAGAATGTGTTCACAGCAGACTTTGCCTCTGTTAAAAGAAGTAAAAGATGTTTGTCAAGCAATCAATTATCAAAAATTTCAAACGACTTTAAAAACACAATAACGCTGAGCATTCATGTAACACATGGGTAAACATTTGAACGATTAATTGTCCCATTTGTTATATTTGCCAAGCTGCCTATTGGAGTATATTGTGTGTAGCCTACCGCTGTGCCAAGCAGCTACGATGGCTGACAAAGTCAGACATAGCAGCCACTCATTAGCCATAGCCATTTGCTTCTCCACAGGAACTCTGAGGTCGATGGGAGGGAGGCCCAGCTCTTTATACCTGGGAGCAAGGTCTCACTGTGGCAGGTGCAGCTACATTTCCATATTCATGAGTGTTGGTCTTGGCCTTCCCCTTCTTCACCAGAGCTGGGCAGTAAGGCATTACTAGTAATAATACTACAGTAATAATACTAGGAGTGTAACTAATTACTAATACATTTAAGTAATAATAATTTAAAAAATTAGTTACAACCCTTTTTGCACTGTTAAAAGTGTGTTACAGTACAAAACTGGCAGCTGTGGTTGCCAGAACTTTACTGTAATAAGTAGAACTTTTTTTACTATTACGGTAAAGGGATATTAGTAATGTTCACAGTTAAAGCTGGAGTTATTTCATATTTTAGCGTATAAATACATAATTACATACACCTCTCCACTTCAGATAGGAACAGATACTCCCTTTTCTCTTTTTTGTTTGTATAACGCCAATTCATAACAGAAGTTATCTCAGGACACTTTTCAAATAGAGCAGGTCTAGACCGAACTCCTTATAACATTATTTACAGAGACCAGAAGTAGAGAACAGTACCACCATTATTTACAGAGACCCAACTCAACAAGGAGCATCAGAATCAGCTCAGTGGGACTTCCTTACATCACTTCATTTAACCAGCAAGTCAAAAAATGAATCCTTTTAAACTTGGGGATTAATGGATTCTATGTAACTGAGTTACATAATAAGGAAACAAGTTAACTGTAATCCATTAAATCTTTCCATTGTTTCCATTGTTCTGTTGTCTTGTCCTACTTCTTATTGATTTCTTTTCTCTTGATTTTATATGCATATTTGGTGAGTAATCCAAAAGTAATGGTAGTTATGTTACTTTAACTTGTTGATAAAAAAAAATTCTTAAAAAATCTAGGAAACCATATACATGAAAAAAAAAAGTAAATGGCCTATTATAGTTAAATGTAGTTGCAGTAACTTAATTTTGTAAAGTTGTTTCAAGCAAGTTAGTCTGACTTAAATGGACAGCTATGTGTACTCAGTCAAATTTAGGAAACCAAGTACCTTACATAACATTAAGCCATTGCCAGTGTTTGTGGAAACAAATAAAACTCATCTATACAACTCAGTCACAGTTGTATATCATTAAACATCACAGAGACGATAAAATCATTCCCCAATCATAAAGCATGGATGAATGGAGTGGTGAGGGCTTTCTCCAGAGCCAAAAGAAGCTAAAAAGAGCTGCCTTTTTGTCAGGTGACAAGGAAGCCTACAGCACCGCCAGAGCAAGACTGAAAGCTGGCATCAAGGAGGCAGAGCAGAGACACCAGCAGAGACTGGAGAGAGACCCACAAAACCAATAACAATAAAGATATGTGGCAGGCGATCCAGAACATCACAGGCTACAAAAGCAGGCGCTCCCCCATCATGTGTGAGATCATGGTGGTCACACCTCCCAACCCTGCTTTTAATCAACAATGAGTTATAGGGAACTTTAAGGATTTGGGATAATTGTTACTTAAAACTGCAAGTCCAAACCAAACATATTTCCTGTGTTTGAGTTGATACATTCGGTTAGTTTCTGGCCATGGTTCTGACCAGTCAGGCTCAAGAGCTTCAGGATACAGTTTTGGCAATATTCAAGGTTCAAGTAGGTAACGCCCACAACTACCAAATCTGATATACACCTGTGGGAATAATAGACCACCATTATGACCAATTATGGCTTGATATCATGTAAGGCTTTAGATAAATAAAGTGTTTTTATTTGCTTTGCTTTATCATATTTTGACTCAAGCGATAAAAGCTTAAAACTATTCAAGGTGTGTTCGATTTTTGCGTGATTACCACTTTGGTCTTTTGTTTGCTTATCACCAGCAGTCATCTTTAACAATAGCAAGACTCAACAGAGAGTCAACATGAATGGAGAGCAGAGATTACTTGTTATACTTCATTCAGATTAGTATATTACAGATCCATTAGTATTGTCTTAACGTCCACCCAAATGAGATTGTTTGGCTGGCAGAAGTGGTTCTGCTGCTTGCCACACAGCCATGGGTGCAGCTTCTATCTACGCAGTGGTACTAATCAGACATTGTTTTCAGTCATGCTGTTTGGATCCTATTGTTTTCTGAGGAGGCTCTGTAAATCAACTCATAATGAAACATAAAAATATTGTTTGAAAAGAAGGGGGGAATTTTTGTTTATAGGTATGGAGAGGTATCTAATGCTGCCTGTCTGACTGGTGGGACTGTAGGCCACTAGTTTGACGGCAGTATGTGCAAAGCTGGCGGTAACAACCCTAAAAAGGTGGCACATGGGTTAGAAACCATATCTGGTGAAATTAAAAAAAAATGAAAGCAGAAGTTCCCGTACTGGTTTAGTGACTTTACAGTGAGCTTAATATACTTTGATTATTTTCTATAAATTTGAATGTCACTGTAATATTTAAAATATTCCTGGTATTTCTCTGTCATCATTATTGTGTTTCTTTCTCATTTCAGCCAGAGTATCAGTACGGTATTGTGTCCAGAGGCACTCCAGATAATGGGAAGAGTAGGCGTAATAATCATAACACACCCATAGCGGTTTGCACCATTTTATTGCCAGTCACCATGAATATAAAAACCTTTTACCAACCTTTCTTTTTAGATAATGAACATACATAATGTAACACTCAAAGAACAGATAAGCTTTTACCACTTTGTTTTCACAGATTGCTATTCCACATGATGCGTGAAAGAATAGATATGCACGTTCAAAGTAAACTGAATCTGTGGGTGCACATGCACCATCCTGTTCACATTAGTATGTACTGAGCCCTGGGATCCGGTTCTTCGCTTAAATGTATTGGTACATTTGGTAAAATGGTGGACTTAAATGCAAGACAGGGAGACAATGGTATGGTGAAGTTATGAAGGTTTGATTTAAATCTTGCTGAGCTGATGATGATGGTGATGATGTGGATGATAATAAGAGGGTAGAGGGCTTAGTGGAGATGGCTGATGTGAGAGCTAGTCGAAACTTGACAGGCAGGTGAAGTGTAGTTTTGAAACACAGGAGTTGCAATCAGCCAGGAATGTAAATCAAAATAAGAAATCACTAAGACAACCAGATTCAGAGACACAAAGAAAGGCTATTGGAGCATACTACCATGCTTGTTGACAGAACAATCTGACGCTGGATGTCTGCAAGCTGATAGTAATGAGCTGATGAGCAGATGCAGGACAGATGAGTGGTGATGAGCTTATTTCTAACAGTTGTATAGGGGAGCAGAGCTGGGAGCCAGAAAGGAAGCCACACCCACTACACACAGACACAAAAAGCCTTTCTCATTTCCCAATTTGTACATCCTCAGTTTTGGTTTTTGTGTATATATTATATAGGGAATATATTGTGCCAAACAAAGAAAGATAAACAATTCCTTATGTGTCCGTAACAACACAGAACTCTGAAAGCACAAGATAAAGTATGCCATATGTCGACAGTCTTCTCAATTTGCCATCAATAGAATGAACTACAAGAACCACAGCAGGGACACCCTAGGGAGGAATATAGTTTGGTTAACTAAAGACAGTTCAGTGATACTAAGTCATTATTTTGAGATGCTGTCAAAATATTGAGATACTATTTCAAAATACTGAGAAAGTTTTTCATCATTTTAAGATGTCCTTATTTTGTGCTAAGTAATATCAATAAAATGTTACAGCTAATATTGAGCTCCATTTAACCAGTAACAACCAGTAACAACCAGTAACAAGTCTTGTCCCAGTGTTGGAAATGAAGCAGCCGTTCAGTTTTTCATTGTTTTAATAAAGAAATGTTAAAAATAAGAATGCTTCTGGTGCCTTCATTTAAGACCAAGTCACCTATTTTCATTAAGCTTTTTGAAGACATTGTGTCTTTTTGCCGATTATTAATCTTAGATTAAAGGTACTAATTCTTAAATTCAGCTCAATAAAGTGACCAAAATACTTCCTTAAGAAAGTCTGTCTTACATAACTGAGTTTACATTGCTTGTAATAAACACAGCTTCCTAGATTCTTAGATTTCTTAGATTTTTATACTAGTTAAGAATACTCCACTGGCCAACTTTTTTGGCTCAATACAAGAATTTTGATCATATTTTAGAAGAATATCTGGCTAGTTTCTAGAAGGGCTGTTTTTGCAGTGTGTAAGTAAAGTGGAGGCTGTACTAAAGGCAAATAATGATCACTGTTAAGAGAAATAATGTAGTTTTAAAGACATTTTCTTCATTGATCTAGGTTTTTTTTTATTAGCCCATTGGCACAACCTCAGTGTCTGTGTCAGTGTCAGTGGTGGCGCTGGCTCTGACTCGTATGTAAAAAAGTTGCTCAATATTGAGATTTTCTGAGTCAGCCTGAAATGTGACAACATTGGGTGAGAGTGTGTTTGGACAGTGTTCACCTCCTTCAACCAACAGTGATAACCTGACTGAGACTGTGTTGGTTTGGGCCCAATCACAATAAAATGGCACCTGTGGTTTGCTGTGAAATTATTTGAAAAAATTGGAACGTAATTTTTTATCAAACTGAGGTTACACAGCAAATATTTGATAAGATGAAAATAAAGCTAGCATGCCTAAATCATATGTACATATAAAAAAGAGCAGTGGAAACTCCCATTTATAACATAACCAGACTTATCTTTTATGATCGAATTGTTAAGTAATATAGTCATTGGCACACATGTAGGCTTTTATTTATTCATTTTGTTTGTTTTATAAGCTGATTACAAATATGTCATGATATCCAGTGCTTATGGAACATTAATAAACACCTATTTTTCATGAGTATGTTGCCTACTGCCTACTTTACAACATAAGGTTGTAGAATTAAATAATTTAGATATAGTTCCTGTTATGCTATCTTTAAATAAGACAGTGTGGACATGGAATTTGTGGACAACATGTTTTTATCAATACCACAAAGCACTATTCCCTGCTTGATCCAAACCATTTCTACCTTTGGTACCTTTTCA